CATGACAGGCGCATTAATTTTCAAGCAAAATAATTCCCGAATGGTCGAAGATTTCTAATATTGCTTTATTCTTTATAGATATACATGCTTATAGTAAGCGCCATGATTATAATTACACAAGTGTTTATTTACAACAACAGTTAGCGTCGTTACAAACCCTAATTTAGAATAATATGCTTTTCTTCAGACATTTAACATGTAAATTCACAGTGGCCAAGGGGTTTGCGCGCTCGCTTAGGAAGCGAGAGGTCTGGAGTTCAAATCCCAGTTTAAAGCAATTTCTTTTTTCAAATTGTTTAAGTCAAATAAACATTGGCTTGAATATCAGTGTTGCAATTAGTCAATCTACTACAATAAAACGCTGGAAAGCATTGGTGGCACTATACAAAAACAAATTGTTTTTTTTAGAATCTCACAACCTTCACCTTTCTGACATTCTGAGACCCAAACAAATTCAGCGCCTTCTGTGCTTTGATTAGTACTCTTTCTTTATTTTTTGCAGTATATTTTAATGGAACAGATTTGTAGTGTGTTTTACGGCATTGAAAAGACAGTTATTCATTTTAATCCATTTAATTTTAAACATGAATTCTTAAAACATGTTATTTAAAAAGAGTATAGACATAACAAAATTCAGTAAAACATAATAAAACAAAACGAACAACATAAAATAATCATATATAACTTCATTAATGTTGAAAGTATTGATAAGAAAAAAAAACATGGACCAACGCGGTGTCGATCTTAAAACACGTGTGACACTTCGATTATAAACTCGTGATTTACCCTATTGCGCTATAACGCTGAGTATACTTTGTTTATAGATACAAATTAAATTCCATCGTACAGCGTACATATCACGGAACTTACCGAAAATCTACCGAAGATTAATATACTGTGTAATCAGTATGTAATTGACAGGTTAATAAAAACAAACAATAATGAGTAATGATTTGAAATAGCTTATCTGATGAAAGACAAATGCAAACTGAACATGCTACTGAAAAAAAATGTCTAACATATATGCTTAAATTGTACTGCATTAGCATAATATATTTAAATATTATAATTTCAATATGGCTGACAATTTTAAAGAATGGAAAAAACACAATCTTGAAAATTGCAATTTGCATTCAGACAAATGTAGAAGAAATTATTTAAACTTTTGCTTAGCTGATTGAATAAAAGTAGACAAACATGAATATAATCAGTAAATTTGTTAATGAATTTTCATTTTCCTCAAATGACTTGATGACAGGTAATATGGCTGTGTATAGATAAATGTTTTCTAACTAACAATTACCTTGCAGTTCAAGTCGGCAATTTAAATCAGCTCTAAAACAACTCGACATGTAAGAAATAAGTAGATTGGAATTTAGATAAGGATCATAGCAGCTTCAAATTGTAGATATTAGTCAAGAGAAAAAGGAATTAAACAATTGACTTTTGTATACATGTATATGCTTTGTATTCTGTTAAATATAGAAATGTATTGTTTTCAGGTGCAAGTGTCACAAGGTACCTAGAGAAGATTGAGCATATAAGACAAAGTAAGTTGTATTATGTATATTGTATTTCAGTAAGTGGTATGTTGACATATTTTCGTGTAAATTACATTAGTTTATTTACCAGTGCAGTTGAAAGTGTGTGCCACCAGCTGACCAATCACAATACAATAGAACTCGGGTTAAGAAAGGGTTTAAGATGACAGACTGTTTTATTCTGGGTTGTTCTTGGGATTGTTTTGACCCTGTTTATTCTATGTTGATTACTGTCTTTCTTTTACATACACAAGAAATGTGGTAGCAAACAAATATTTATAATTAATCTTTTTGGATGAATGTTGTCCTCTGTAAACAAGGGTTTTATATTTATTTAGGATTTTTGTTTAGGATTCTTTTTCTTATGTTTATGTATTTGTATGCATACTGAGATAATCAAGTAAACTTTGAAAACTTGTTTATAATATTACTCTAGTTTGTTGTGACTATGTATTAATAAATATATATAATTTGTTTCTAAAATAGATAATTACATATATGATGATTTTGTCTAAATTTTAATGTGTACTTTCAATGTTGTGATTCATTTTAGAATTTATTATTTAAAATGAGAAATACTGGTACGACTTTTCCCCCAAAAAAGAAAAATAACAATTTTCTTATTTTATTATGTACATGTATATTTAATGTTAAAACAATATATTTAGAAATAGAAAATGTCAATATGAAAATTTTATATTTAATTTTTGCTTTTTTTCTTCTTGTTACTTGTGTGTGGTTAAGCCTTTGCCACCATTATAGAGTCAGACCAGTCTGCATTGTCCTGCCCTGCCATCTGACCAGGCTCTATACTTGTGGCAGCTATAAAAAATTAATGTCAGATATCAGACTTCCTTGAACTTCCAAATTCAGATTAGGGAGCCATTACAAAAAAGTTCAGGCTTGTGATTTATATAAAAAAAAAAATGATAACGTGTTGTGACAGACACTTCAGATTTTCGTCTATTACCAATTAAGTTTTAGAGGAAATAAAATATTCATTATTGCTACATGTATGAATGTATTCTTAAAACTTTTGTGTAATATCTTGTCTTTTGTTTTGTACAATTGCTTTTCAATTTGTGAAAACAAAACTATTTTAAATTTTAATGAAGCTGTATTGATGAAGGGTTTGCAATCATCAATGATAAATGGAAAACAATAATTGACTTGAATAATAAATCATGTTGATCAATAAGAAAATGTATGAATTTCAGATCATAAAATAATTGATCATAATAATTGGTTGGTAAGGGGTTACCTGGACCATTTTTAAATTAAGGACTATTTTGTTAGGTGATCTCATGGTATTTTGTGAAATACAATTGGACCATGTTAAATTTTATTTTAACTAAATTTTTACATTTTTATATTGAAATTTTTAAAACTTTGAATAAACTGTTCTAAATTCAAAGGTGGGCAAATCCATTTCACAAATTCAGCAGAGTTAAAAAACACTTGGTAATCAATCTAGTATAATTAAAGAAAATATCTTATCTCTTTGTATAATGCACTGTATGAAATCAGTATGAATGAACCAAAATCTTTCATCTTATGAAGATGAAATTAATTACTGGTGTTGAATGTATGGTAATTCTCAGATTGCTGGTTGCAAGGGAAGTAATACCTTATGCATCATCATAGGAGCTTTTACAGTATTGTGTCCCTTGAAAGCTAATGTAATAGCAAATGCACAGAGAGTTACCTCCCTTCAGTCACTTGTACACATTCTTTGGCTTTCTGAAGGCTATAAACCATGAAAATGAAAGAATACAACATAGTTTTACATTTAATCCAATTATTTAATTTAATTGCAATTTAATAAATTCTGCATGGTTTACAGCAGAGGCAATCAATAGTGACAGCTTTCTGTCTTTCAGGCCATTAATTTTATCATGTTGGGGGAAAATGTAGCATTTAAAGGGAAATGCAACGGAAAACAGTTTGTATTTTGTAAAGGTAAACAATCACTGCCCTTTGTTTCTAATTTCTTCTTGAAGTGTCATTTAAGTAAAAATTATATTTATATCTCCAAATTCTAAGATAGTATAATTATATTTTAATCTAATTTCTCTAACATTAAACTGTATCATAATCAAATAACATTAAGCAACTGTAACATTTTTTAATGCCTGTTTTTTTTTCATTATGTTACTTGTTTAATATTTGCATGCTAAACTTAGATGTAAAATTCATAGCCCAGTTTAACATAAGTTTTGAAAGTAGAAATTTGAGAAATTCCTTCAAGGAGTATAATTATGATAATAGAGAGGACACAAAGTTGTGAGACTTTTAACCATCAAGGGTGATCTTGACCTTCAGCAAGCACAGCGGCTGCATGGCTTCTTTTCAGGATTTATTAAGTCAACATCAAATTGTCTGACATTTGACCTTCAGGGTTAACCTTGAGCGTCAGGGTTCTTTCTCTCACCTTGTGGAATCAAGTTGGAAGAAAATCTATGAAAAGGATAAGGATGATGAAACAGATACAAAATTGACATTTGGCCTTCAAGGGTGACCTGACTTTTAATTGATTGATATCAAGTATCATTGTGTATGGTAGGTTGAATGATACTTTGGATTCTTCTAACAATTGGCCGAATTTGGAGTCCTCGGCACCAATATTAAAAAGAGATTTTTACACTTTTTCTCATACAACCTTTATTCATGGACTGATGTCTTTCATATTTAGTAAGTATGCATATTGTCATCTTATTTTGGGTGGAGAAAGGGGTGGCTTGAATCAAGGTCACCAGTTTGCCTTTAGCCATAATTATATCTTGTCTATCCCTATTTCTGGCAGTTTTATGGTGTGCAGGAGTAAGAAAATGGAAATTTTAATTGAATTCTGAAATACACAATCAATAGCATGTTCAAATTTAATTGAAGGTTGTTAAGTAATAACTACTTATTAATGATATATATATTGTTATTAATATTACAGTATTGATCAATTATATACTATTCAAATGCTTGTCGCTGACAGTATTAATGCTCCCTGTCAGCCAGCGATCAAACCATATATATATTAATTATAAACTAAATTACCTATGACCTTTAAATATGAGCCATTTAATATAAGCTTTAATACCAGTCTTTAGTAGATAATCCAGATAAAATTGTGTTAAATATTTGATCCTTTACTACTGTAAAATAGGAATATTTTTAATGTATTTGAGACTGATTGATTTTTGAATCGTTGATATTGATATATTAATTGTGTGCTTTTATAACTTGCTGTGTAATATTGACAAGGGCAGTTCAAATTTGATTGTTTGTTCTCTAAATTATTTCTGTAAATGAATAAATTATTAAGAAAAAAATACAAGTAACATTTTTAAGAAAATGGCAAACAGGTAAATATCATCAGCTTACAGTAGAGACAGAACTAAATATCTGCGGACTGAATGTCGACCTGCATGTAATAGTGTTATATTCTAGTACTGTATAATAGTGCTTCTACAGTCATACTGCCTTAGATACAGTAATCAGAAACAGTCTATGAATGGGCATTAAAGTGAAAATAGCGAAAGTTTATTTAAACTGAACTTTCCTAAAATATACGTATACAATAGTGAAATATTGTTAGTATCTGTTTATGCGCAGTATTTATTTAAAGGTGTTTGTTAAGCCAGAAATAGCGAGCAGTTTCCTGTAACAAGAATTACGTGCGTGTTGGAATTTTTTATTCGCAGGCTAAAGAGCTGATCCAATTAAGTGATTTCTACGTTTTATTGTGCAAGTTTATGTGTCATGTAAGGTCCCAATAATTGAAAGTGGTAATTTATTTGATGTCTAGTTGATAGTGGTAGTAGAATATACCAGATTAATGGACATTTTAACAGCAGTATACATTTGAAAAGGAAAGGAGTGTTAAAGATTGAATAAGAATTTAATCCAAAAAGATAATAAACAGATTTTTTTTTCTATAAGAGAAGAAAACTATTCAGAAGTTTATAAGGAATAGGAGCTAAAAAGTACAATTGGATTTAATATTTGAATTTATTAACTTATATTAAATAGATAATAAAGTGATTGGGTGACTTACAGTAGGTCAAAGATGGCAGTTTAACAGCATATATTTTATTGTTTACTGTTGCTGTTGACAATTGGATGCAGTGTGTTAACAATTTGTGACTTGATAAGAGAAGCATTGGCAACTGATATTTTATAAAGAAAATGCCAAAAAAAGGGAACCCTACGCATAGTGACAGCAACTTTAAGGAACCAAAACCGACACCCAGAATAAAATTGTTTAAAGAGGACAGGCATAATTTATTTGATATACTTAAAGATGCTGATAAATCAGCTGCTAAAAGGGGTAGGTCTAATTCGTTATTTGTTAATATGTTAAGCAAGGACCAGTTACGATTTTGAGTAAAAAATGTTAAAACTTTTATAATAATAGAGTATTTCTCTATAGCTTGGAAAAAAAAGCATGGAGCTTAATGAAACACTCTTGCGCCCACTTCCTATACATTGGGGCCAGCACTGTACTGTCAGTATAATTGTGTCTGTTGTTAATTGTTTCTGCTGGCACCTTTGAATCATCTATGATCAGCATTATTTGAATTTAGGGAAACCAAGAATACCAAAAATTCTTATTATATTCCCATCACATAATGTGGAAGGGCCATAGTGTATATACTGAAATCACTTTGTCATGTCTGTATATCTCCATCCAGTGAAGGATTATTTTCCAAGGGATCACCCCTTTTCCAGTAAGAACTATTAATATGGCGGTCTTTAAAGAGCTATAAATTTGACATGAGCAAAAAAAAAAAGATTTCTAATTTAATATGCTAAAGCATTAAATTATTTGTACTGCTCCACAAAAATTGATTGAATTATTAATTTAGTTAGGGAATATATTGAGGTGATAATAATGCAATTTAGAGCCTTATTGCTTTAATATTTTGTTTAAGGTGTGCATTTTGAACTCTTATAACTGATTATGTTTCATGGGTTATTTTTCTATTACAGATTAAAAGGTTGGCAGATTCTTTTGCAAATTGACTAAATATTTGTTAATATTCAGCAGTAAATTCTTTCTGCAGTTCCCAGTAACTGGGGCTTACAGAGAGCATTAAATTTTCAGGGTTGAGTTTAGATGCGCAAGAGTATAATCATAAAAGCTGATAGGCCTGAGTGATAATTACAAAGCATTTGAACAATAAACCTTACATTTTCATCATACAACCTTGCAAGGAATATGAATATCTATTTCCATTCTAACTTTCTTATAAAAATGAGAATTGATAAAAATATGTTGAACTACATTTACTGTAGAAATAATTTTCCTGTCATCAGTTTCTTTATTGACATCATTTTTGACACCATAATGATGTGTAAGCATTCCTGGTATGTCGAACATTATTGTGTTACAATGCACTCAACAGTCCTGTCTGCTTGATAGGGGAATAATGTGAAGCAATTGTTAGAATGGTTGTTATATAATTATTTTTATTACTGTTTTACAGTCTATGTTGTCGCTGTGATATTTTTAAGTGTCCACACATTTTGAATGCATTTTAGCATGTTTTGTGTTGATATGGTTGTCTACAAAATTCTAGTACAAAGAACATATTTCAAATTAATCTTATGCCCATAAAACTACTCTGTGTTTTTACACAAAGCCATGTAGTAAACATTGAAGTAAGCAACCATGCCTTCAGTTGATAAAATTTGACAGGTAGAAAGTTATAATAATGAACTCAAAACATCTAATATGATTTAGAATCTTAAGATTTAATTTATTCATGTGTCACAATGTCACATGCTGACTTTGCTTAGTTAAAGCTAATTGTAAAGTTTTTAAAAGTCTTTAGAAAACATTTATAAATCAAACTTGCTTCTTTCTGGTTATGTTAGCCAGGGATTAAAATTGTAGAAAGAATCAATCATCATGTTTCCACATGGATATTAATGTTATATATGGCTTTTGATTTCTTTGTAGAGTGTTCAAGTACATATAGATTTACCTGTGTAATAGCTTTTAGTGCTTTGAGTCTAAAAAAGGGTGTATATTATTCATATGAAATATAACAATATTGGTGGATCATAAAATTGGTTATTAATCTGTATTAATCCGATCAGGAATCAATTCTTACAGCATATAAGCTAGTGGTTTAAATTTTTTAGATCAATAATTTATAATGTCGGCACTTTATGTTTCTCTACGTGCATGAACATTGTTTTCTTCATTTCTTTACAGAGGCATGAGACTTGTAATGTTTTAGTGGTTATTGAACTTGGGGTTGATTATTCTTAACCTAATATTTGCTTAGGAAAGTGAAATACATTTATACTTGAAGAAGCCATAGTCTTATTGAAGTAGGAAAATAGAAATTGGTATGGGTCCTTTATTGTCTGTGGATTGTTCACCTCTAATGAGTGTATGCTTTTAAGTGTTAGTATAGTAAAACAAATATTTAATCTAACTAATACCATTAAGCTATTAGGTTTTGGGAGAAATGAAAAATTTATACATGTGTTTATGTAGATCATTTTATGTAATGATATTTTCAGCACTGCCTCATGTAAATAACTAAATACTTATACAATTTATTAGTCCCCTACCGGTTTAACCGGAGGGGACTTTAGGTTTACCCTCTGTCCGTCTGTCCGCACTCACGAGAGGGTATATGTTGGGTACTGAATACCCAACAACTACCAATCCTACTCACTCCGTATGTATTGTTGGGTATTTTCTTTGATTGTTGGGTACCTTTTTTACACAGTAAAATACCCAACAAGAATACAAATGTAAGAACGTCCGTCTGTCTGTCCGTCCGCACTCACAGGAGAGTAATTATGTGGCTAGAGGGACAATAGGTAACTGTTCTTTCTCTTTGATGTCATTCATTCCGTAATGCTTTTATGTGGCTATTTTTTCTTTTGCGTGGCTAAAAAGAACAATAGAGAGAACAATAGAGTAGCCACATAATTACTGTTCTGTGAGAACTTCCGTTTGTCAGTCCGTCCGTCCACAAAACTGGATCCCGCGATAACACAAAAAGTACTGAAAATATTTTAATGAAACTTGATATATGGATAGATGGCAGTATGGAGATTATGCACGTCTTTTTTTTTCTTCTAATGTTGAAAATTCTGGTTGCTATGGCAACAAATAGCCTGAAAATATGGCAAATTGAACACATAAACTGGATCCCGCAATAACACAAAAAGTACTGAAAATATTTTTTTGAAACTTGATATATGGATAGATGGCAGTATGGAGATTATGCACGTCTTTTTGTTTTCTTCCTATGTTGAAAATTCTGGTTGCTATGGCAACAAATAGCCTGAATGTCAAGATTTCTGATTTAAATTTTTCAGCTTTTTCACTATAAGTTCTTTATTTCTTAAGGTGTTTACTTCAAACTTTAAATATAAGTTTCTGGTCATCAACCACATCATATGTGACAAGGTTTACAACTCTAGCACAAAAATTATCAGTATTACCTCCCTTGAACTTAGAATTTTTATGAAAAAAATGATGTCTTTTTTAAATAACTTCTTTATTTCCTAATGTATCTACTTCAAACTTCATATATATGTTTCTTATTATCACTCAACATTTTTGAATGGGTAAATACTCTAGCAAGACTACTTCCAGAATTATGTCCCCCTTGAACAGAGATTTTTTTCGAGAAATTGGTATTTTTCACTCCAACTTCTTCATTCCTTATAGGATTTACTTTAAAATCCCACATCGTAATAATATGACAAGGTTGTATAAACATAATTTCCTTACTAGGCAGGGAAACTCTATAACACATTACTGTGATATAGACAAACTTAGAACTCAAAAGATTCAAGTTCATTCATGTCATTTATTCACTGGTAAAATTGACTGGCCAATGGCCCATCAGAAAGTTGCTGGGGTTCTAACCGGTAGGGGACTTATGGATTGCTTGCAAAACTATGATAATTGCTTGTTTTGTTGAGCGTTTCTTAGGAATGATTTGTACAAGGTGATGTATAAGAATGTCTTCTTTTAGAGAACAATATGTAGTTATTGCATATATCAGACATTATACTTTTGCCGGAAAATGTCATCTTACACCCTATAGATTTGTTGCATGGTTTGAATGGTGTTATTCTATTGTAATTATGTATAAGTCAGGTGCTTAAAGCATGTTTTGTTCTGCCATTATAATTCAAGGCAAAAATTCATATTCATGATACTATCTCACCAGGATGTCCGATGATCAGCATCACATTTTGGGTACCAATATTTTTGTACTGCCCTAGCATTTTTCTATACCTTAAGACATTCTGCTTATCAAATTTTGAAAAGATAAAGATCTCTAGATATTAGGTACAATAAAATATAAATAAACAATTTAAAGGGCAATAATTTATGAAGTTTCAATATTTAATTTAATCTTTGTGAATGATCTATCAAATGCATATAATGTAGTGTTAACTAAGGTACAGCCACATAATCTCTTGACTGTATAAAGTTAGGTGCAAACATTAATTTGGCATGAGAATAAAATCATGTCTGCTAGTCTTAAATTAATGTATATTTATAGCTTATTCTTTCACTTAGGTAAGATCAAACAAACAAAATAAATAGAGCCACCTGTTTAACAAATACCTCTGTAGCTAGGGCCCTACAGTCTTTAAACAAAATATTTTAAGCAGTTTTCGACAGGTTTTTAAACAGTGGATGTTAAGCTTAACCGTCCATTTAAATGCATTTATTTTGGTATTAGATATTTTCAAAGGTAAATATTTATCAGGATATGATCATTTGTACACAATAATGGTGGGGTGAGAAGGCTGTTTAATCAGTCAGAGGAAATTTTAAGACATGCCTTTTGTAGTTTAACTTAAAACCCACACACAAGCCTCTAGTTTGCTAAACTTTTAGTTTGTTCTTTTTTTCTTTTAATGAAAGTATTGATTGCAATGTTCACTCACATCTTATGGTTTGAGATGAATGCACTTATATTGATACATTATATTGTGACCTTTTTTACCATTATGTGTTTATGATGTTTATGTTAATGACACTAATGTTATCTCAGTATATATTTTAAGTAGTTTGTATGTTCACAAATCATAAATAAAGATTATATATACAGTCCGAAGTTCTCATGGCATGATTTTGTTTTGTTAACATGATAGGTTTAAAGCGACTGCATTTATACAGGGAAATCACTCTATAGTAAATGTTTCATGTATACATGTAACTGAAAGTGACAGGTGCAAGAAAGATTATCTCAGCAGAAATAAAGATGATTTCTATGACATGCCATATTTTTATTTGGTTTTGACATAAAAACTTTTGCCCTGTTCTATGATTATATTAGTCTGCTGCTTAACTCATTAGGGAGCACACTGGATAAGAAGAAATCAAGGGTTGCTTGTTCTATCTTGGTCAAGGCATAATTTGTCTGTGACAATTATTGATCTCAGACGTTTAATTATTACTTGTCTTTCACATCTGATTCGAAAGTATTGTGGGACTAGTATTAGGTCACTTGTAAAGAAATCAGTAATTATGTGTTAGTTATATAGGAAATTCAGTAAGTTGGGGAGAAAAAAACACCAAGATATGACCAAAACATGTTAATTGCATGATAACATGGAAAACAATCAAATAATTTTTGAAATTATATATTTTATTTAACTCTATTCTATGACATTATGTTGTGTTTTGACCAGTTCTATGACATTTTTTTTATTTTGTCCAGTTTTTAGCTCGACTTTTCTATGAAAAGGGGAGCTATCCTACTCGCCCCGGCGTCGGCGTCGGCGTTGGCGTCACACCTTGGTTAAGTTTTTCGTACCCCCCCACTTTATTTCAGAAGTATTACAAGTATGGCTTTGAAACTTACCATACTTGTTCACCATCATAACCTCCATCTACAGACAAGAGTACATAACTCTGTCAAGGTTTTTGACAGAATTATGGCCCTTTTTTGACTTAGAAAGTGTATTGAGCTTGGTTAAGTTTTTTGTACCACCTCACTTTATTTCAAAACCATTGGAGGTATTGCTTTGAAACTGACCATACTTGTTTACCATCACGACCTTCATCAACAGACAAGAGGACATAACTCTGTCAAGGTTTTTGACAGAATTATGCCCCTTTTTGACTTAGAAAATACATTGAATATGGGTAAAATCCACTTATTGCCTTAACCCTTTGAGATATTGCTTTGAAACTTTTAATGCTATTTCACATCATTACCGCCCATCTGTACGCAAGAGAAGGTAACTCTGTCAAGGATTTGTTTTAAAAATTAAGGCCTTTTATGACTTAGAATCTTGGTTAAGTTTTTAGTACCAGTCCACTTTTTGACTGAACTGTTTGAGATATTAATTTGAAAGTTGGAATACTTGTTTACAATCATGATTCCCAAACATGTCCAGGAGAAGGTAATTCTGTCAAAGATTTTATTTGAATTATGGCCCTTAACTGTCAATGTTTTGTATTATAGGCAAGCACTAAAAAACTTAAAAAATCTAAAAAAATTCATTCCTATCCACTTGTTCACTTTACCATAAATTATGTCATATAAACATTGCTGTAATATTCAAGGGTATCAAACAACTAGTTCACTTTAAAAATACAGAGATTCTTGTATTGCCTTTTACTGCAAAAACTTTTTTTATTGGCAAGCAATAAAAAAGTCGAGCGCGCTGTCTTACGGACAGCTCTTGTTATGACAATATTCTTTGTTTTCCCCTGTTTGATGACATTATTTTTTGTTTTGTCCAGTTCTATATATTAATCATACGGTATTTGCTCTGTTTTATGACATAATATTTTGTTTTACCCTTTTTCTATGAGATTATATTGTTTGCCAAGGTTTTATACATAAAGTTTTTGTTATTACAGATTACAATTTCAAGACTGATGAAATATTCAGACGGATGAAAGTTACAACATTTGTACAGTTGGTAAGTTTAAACTTTAAAGTATATACATTCCTTTCTTTACGAAACAAATCATAAAACAGTCAAACCTGTTTAAAGGACTTTGTCAGATTTTAACTATAATTATATATAAAACTTATGTCATGTTTCACAGTATATAAACAAGTCTACTTCCTGTAATCACAAGACAGGTTTAAGTTAGAATATATTGGCTTGTAATTGGAAGACCAGGAACATATTGAATTGTATAAGCTCGCAAAAGAGAGAAAATTACTTCATTTATCTACTTTGATGTTTAAAACCATCTTAATGTGTAAAGATCTTGTGATGCATTCATTTGTATGTGTCAAAACCAGTCAAACTTTTTCTTGGTAAAATAATCATAATTTTCTTCTGTTTATAAGCTTTATCCTGTTTCTATTTATAGATTATGCAAGTAGCGGAGTATGACAACACATGTTCACTTTACGGTAAGTCAGGTAAGAGTCAGTTTATTGAATAATGAAGAATTTTATTTTAACTGGAAAAAAATTCTTCCATGGGCTTATTTGACACATTGGAAAGCCTTAAAATGTTAAACGTATGGAATATATACTACATTTAGATGTCTTTTCACCCCCACCCCCCTTTGAGGCCTCAAATAGTGAAAAAATGCCCTATTTAGACCCAAACACTAGTTTTCTTTTAAGAAATGGTGTTAAAATAACTTTTTGATCACTTTTTTGGCACCATACCCCTGGGAAAATTCAATTCAGCTAGTGAATATGATACTACACCCAGTGAATATGATTTTATAAAAAGTTCTGTTGACTACAGTTTGGACCAATGAGATTGCAGCTATATTTAGATGATATAATATCAGATATATTTTACAGAGAATGGCTCAGAGCGGCCAGACACAGCTGATGATGAGGTATATAGAATACAGCGAGGGGGTGGTGATCGGTCCCCTGCACCATCACTAGCTGTCACAGAAGGTGATTATGGGGCACCAGCAGCAGGAAATACAGGAAGATCTACTTTACAAGGGTATACTTTGTCTTAATTCCTTTGTTGAATTAAAATCATGTTTCAGTAGGACTTTTTTGGCTTATTACAACCAAGTTTTTCAAATGACAATGTAAAACTAATGTCCTTCACTTATTTCTAACAAACTTTATCATTTAGTAAAATAGAATGTACCAGAGGATGGCTAATATTGCCTTTTAATGTTCAGTGTTGATAAGTCAATTATAAAATAGAATAGACAATATATACTTCAAACTATAGAGCAGCCCTGTGAAGGGCAGTAACTCTTTTACAACAACAGGATTAATTCTTCTGAAAATTAGCCTTCCTGTCAAAGCAACACCTCTTGGTAGCACAAAAATCTATGTCTTCAAAAGAGTGTTTCTGTGCAGAGGTTGTTCTATACATAATTTGATAAATACTAAATGAGAAGTAAAGTTCTTATATAAATGTGGTTTGAAAAAACACAAGATCATTGTGCCAGTATTCATATGTAGGTAGGACCAACAATGACACTCCATACATTCAGTCCACATATATGAAGTTCACATAGTATGTAATACCTCCCATAGCTGCTATTTTGAGGGTCATTCCTTATCTTGTGATATATTTGAGATAAAAAGCATTCCCATTTCTACTATCTTCATGCAAACTGATAAAGTATGTAAGATACAGGTGCTACATTTGTATAACAAAATTTTCCTTCATTACTATAAGAAACTTTGACAATTCACCTTAATAAACTGTTTACATTTTCTTTTTAATATTTTGTAGAATATTGACCCCAAAAATGGGTGGCACTTTTGGCAAGGGAGGTAAATTTTTAAAAGTCGGGAACTAACTATTATGTGATGGAATATTTTGTTCTAAAACTCTCATCGTTTGTTAATTGTACATCTTACCTTACTGTGGTATTTTTTATTACAGGGTCATCAAAGGAGAAGGAGAATTAGATAGAAATAGGGAACAAAGATCATCAAATAATTTCTCAGAAAATGTATTATCAGGATGTCCATACTTGTTGTTAGATGTTAGAGATGAGGATAGTTTTAAACAATGTCATATCATCACAGGTATGATATAGAATTTTACCTTTGTTACATAAACCAGGATACAGGAGTGTAATAAAATAATAAATAATATAAATGATATTAAACTAGTAATGAAAATAATAATAAACGCATTATTTCATGAAGATAATGTTTTATTTACAATATGGCCTTCAATTAAACAAGGGGAAAAAACAATACAAATATGTACACACATATTAAAATAAAAACAACAAACATTTAAATAACATTGTAATATCAGTGATTTCATTTGCATTTTACAAACAGTGTAAATGCGCGCTTATTTTAGCGTTTCACTATACATGTAGGTATTTCAACGAACAAGTGACTTTTTATATGTGACTTTTTTCTTAGTATGACTTAATGAGATGAACATGTAGGTTCTATACTATCAGCCTTGTTGACTAAAACAATATTATGCTTGCCAAAAACTCACATGATATGATTTTATTCAACTCATTCAAAAAGTATAGTATTTAACCTACACTCATACAATATCCTCAATATATTTTATTCATATCTTAATAGGGAACAAACTCCTTATTTCCTGACATGATTTTGCTGTTTAATATAAAAAAAAAACAATTATTCATAAAGTTTAACATTTCTAGATAACATGTTGGTTGTTAAAACTACATGAAATATAAAATGTGACATTTTTATCGTTTTATTTTTCAGCAAAAAATTACCCATCAGCCATGCTGTCTCGAGCTTGTAACTATGAAACCAAAGATATGCTGGCTTTTGTATCCTTTCTTTTATACCATGGTTATCAAACAAATCTAGTTACATGTATAAATGCAACAGCTAGACTTTATCTTTGTGATTTCCATAATATAGTGTCACAAGCTGAATATTTTAAAGAAAAGAATTTTTATTGCCTCTACTTAAAAAATAGTGTGAGCATACTGTGAAGGGATCAGTCTTTATGTTTGTATGTAAATCCATATATATGTTTATGTTGATAGGAACATTGCCCATGGCCAATAGATATTGATTTTGATGTTATAAGGTCAAAGTTCATAGTTCTGCTTTGTGTAGAATCCCTGTCTGATTTGTAACATAAAAAGGAATAAGCTTTAAGAACATTGTCCATTGCTATCAGATGACATAAATGGATTTTAAAGTCAAATTACAAGGAGGTCACTATAACATTTTTTGGAAATTTCTTGAGTGGGAATTAGCTTAAAGTTATTTAACTTGATAGGAACAGACACTTGACCTTTAATTAATAAGCTCAAATTTGTAAATTTGAAGCTGTGAAATGCAAATGAAGATTATTAATACTGTTTTACATTACAGGAACACTAAGTTAATATTTTTATATAATTATATTTCTTAAATCCTATTTAACAGTCATTTTAAGCATTTGAAAAAAAAGTTAAAAAAAACAAGATTTACGTTTACCCTTCTGCCAGTTATACACATCCATGCAATTTAACTGCTGTAATAGGTTCTATACTATTGGCTAACAAACTTTAGATTTTTCAGCCATATAAGTCTAAGAATTTCAATATGTTAATGGTTAAAAATATGCATTTGTGAAATTTATATACATTTGTGAAATTCATTGTTGTTTTGATATAAAATATATTAAAAGATTGTTGATTGATGTACCTTAACATAAACCTAGAAAAATCAGCCAGGAAAGATTATTGTAGTATATGATGAGACAGAGAATTTAGCAAATCACTGTGCAACAACTCTATATCAACGTGGATATGATAATTTATTCCTGTTATCTGGAGGTTAGTTCATCTATTTACTATATACATACTGGTCTTATATGACATAATAATTATATAGTCTTACTAGCAGATAAAAAAATGTTTGTATAGGTTTTCAGCATTTTATACTTAGAGCCATTTTTTTCAATCACAAACATGCCTATGAATAAGTAAAAGGCATGATACTGATGGTGGGAAGGATGTACAATTGTCTCAGGTTTAATGAAATATTTATGAAATCTCTGGCTTGATCAATGCTATTAATTAATAGAACAATAAATATGATTATGATAATTATGAATTATTTTCAATGATTTTATCATGATCAAAGGTGGTACACATATAACCTGCAAAATATTTAACAAAATACTGTCATTACAAAGAAATAAATTGGCTATATATGGAAACACGGAAATTAGGATTCCAGAGAAAGTCTTTATTGTCAAACTGACAAAGTTGAGATAAGTTAAATTGTGGTAAGCAAGTTACTTACTTTGGAAAGAGCTTATTAAAATCACTAACTCTTAATTGATACATTCAAACATGGTATAATTTGTATTGTATGACATTACATATATAATGATATTTGTATTGTAGGTATGAAAGTAGCATATAAGATATTCCCTGAGGGATTACTGACAGGAACTCCTTCAGATACAGTTAGTGAGACCCCTAGATCTAAACGCAAACCAGAAATGGCTGACAGGGATAAGTTTACTGCAGACGATTTGGCGAAAATTGATATTTACTTAAATAACGCTCTCTGTGATAAAAGTTCAGGAAGTAAGTGTAAACTATTTTTTCTAAGGAAAATACTATGGTTCATAGTTGTCAATACCATTCTCATTTGAAATTGTCTGGATTTGTAGTTATTGAATTATTTGTACTCATTGATACATTTTATTGTCTTGTTTTCTAAAACTTTGTTAGCATTATACTTCTTATTGAGGCAATCCAATAAGTTAATCAAAATGCAGTAACTGCTCAAAATTCATAAATATCCAAAGAAAATGTTTTATGTGTATTTTGCTGGATAACTGATCCCCTGCACAAGGAAAGTTGTAGGGGTATACTGATTTGACCAATTGACAGTCTGTCACTCTCCATTAAGTCAGCTTTATAACCCCTGTTCCCCTCAAAAGATTTTCTTCCAGTTTTAGCACAAATATTTACCTAAACAAGGCAATATGCAGAGCCAATGCTGATGCTGTGCGAGGTCAAGGTCACAATTGAAGGCCAAAACTAATTCCATGCCCACTCTATAAATCCTGTATTTCTCAAAACTTAGCACAACAAGGTGATGTGCAGAACCAGATATGTAGATAACATCTATGTATCTGGCAGAACTTGTGCTGCTGCTGTGCTTGTTCATGATTAAAGTTACTCTTCAAGGTCAAATATCAGACAATTCTGGTCCATTCAATCAGTCCTTTACTTCTTGATGGATTCTCATCAAACTTGATGCAATTATTCACCTCAACAATGCTATGTGCAGGATCCACCCAGCCACTGTGCCGGCTCAAGGTTATGGTCACACTTTGGGAGGAAAAATATTTTGCATTGTTTATGAATGAAATACATAATGTTAGGAATGGCTTGATTTCAAATGCTTCTTTAACCATTAAATTTTCTTAGTATTGAAAATCCAGACTTAAATGTTAAATGTTTATCAGTACTTTTTTCCAGTATCACAAGAAACTTGTTTTATTGATATATACTATATATATGTTATCTTCATATTTTTCTAGGTCGTCTGTCAAAGGCTAGCACTGCGGCAAGTAGGATGAGTAATAACTATTCATCATCAAAAGGATATAAGACACCAAACTCAGTGGCCTCTGGTAGAGCCTCACATCAAACACCATTCAAACCTTGATAATTGTTACAAGTATGTCAGCATTTACTTATTTTTCCAGCTTTGACTTGTGTTTTCAATCAAATTGAAACAGTATTATTTTCCAGTTTTGACTTGATTCGCAAGTTTTGTTTTCAATCAAATTGAAACAGTATTACTGTCACATACTAAAAGGCAGTTACCTTATTAGAGTTCTTGGATTTTTATCAGTAATTACATTTATTAAGTGGTTTGGGGAAAATTACTGGATTCTGTATCGGAAATGGTATTTAATATTGAAGAGAGATTTTTGTATATTTATATAAATGTCAGGTTTGATTTTGCCTGTCATTAAGGGTCATGATATTTTTAGGAAGTTATCATAAAATCATTTGTCTTTAAATTTGATTGTTTTCATAAAAGATGTGCTCATTGTTAACTTATTTTTTCTTTGTTTTCAGAAATCTACTGGAGAGATGCAGAATTGAGAAAGCCTTATTGGAAGTCACTCTGGTCCTGCTTGTGTTGATCATTGTGTGAATTACCTCCCTTTAATTACATTTTTTATTGGTCAAGTTGTTTTATAACTACAGGTTAAAGATGTATATATGGTACTGTCTTGTACTGTATAGTTATATTATTATAATTGTTCACTCGTTACAACTGGTAACACTGCACTTTTCAGTCAATGCAATATCTATTAATATTTTTAACAGTGTAAAATTTATGTTTTGGTGACAGAAAGTATATTTTAAAGTAAATAAGTTGTGTACATGTACACTACTTGTATTTTTGTGTTTGATGATATTTTAATCATCAGAATTTTTTTCGTTAATATGGAAAATGTTGAGTTGAACCATCCAAGACTTGTGTTTTGTCTCAGATCAACAGTGATTGACTTCCCACAAAAGAAAACAACCCTGAATGCCATATTAAAGTGAAGAGTAAAGAAGTTGTCATTGATGTCAAAAATAGACCTTGTGGTGTTAAAGATTAATATGAATAGTATTAATTCAAGAGCTAGTGACTTGAATATCTTTATAAAGGAAAAACCTCAAATACATTACGTGAAGGGTTGTTTTCTAATGTTGACAGTAACAGTCACTTTTATACATTTTTCTTCATTTCTTGCTCAAGTGAATTTCTGTATTGACAATATTATAAGACTGCTATTTGTTGTGTATAACAGATCAAATATACTATAATGCAGCAGTTCCCGGGATAGAACAAGTGGTGTCTTTTGTTCTTGGGGGGCAGTGACACTGACTTAGATACAAACAGTTTTATTTTTGGCCTAACTTTATAAGTAATCATTTTGTGTATCACTGCAGGTTTTAATTAATCACCATCTTATATTAGCATTCTATCATCCCATATTTTCTCACAAACATTTTCTGTATAATGTCTGTTTATTTCATTTATCTTTTATGTATCTTTTTTTTATTTTAGTGATTATTATTTTTAAGAAATGTGTAATTTAAAATTTCCAATCTTAAGAAAGCAACAATAACAAAAGCATCACTAGCATGTATTTATTTTTCTATTTAAATTGTTCATTCATTCTTCAGATCATTTTTGTGACCTTTGGTACAAATATATATTTCATTACATGTTACATTATGAAGGAATGAATGCAAAAGAAACATTTATGTTGTTTAAATGGTGAATGAGAGTAAGTTAATGAATGTGTTAGTGTGTTTAACCTACATTATGGTACAATTTTACCTTTAATAATAAAAAAATGTGGACACCGATATAATAATTATTTTAAAAAAATTTGAAACTCAAATGGTATGGTTCATATTGAAGCATATGTGTATATAAGATTTTGATTTGTGTAAAATATGTATACATGTATTATATATCTAATTTATAATTAATTTTTACAGCAATATTACTATAAAATCAGCATTTTGGCACCAACTAATATACACGTGGGAACTTTATCTTATACTATAGAACTACATGTAGTTTTCTTCTGGCTAACAGCATTACTGTATTAACATACCCACAAGTCTTGCCTCTACAAAGAAATGGTGTAATTACATATTCAGTATTTTTATTCTCTTGAAAGTGATTTATGTTGGTTGATAGATAAGCAATTGTTAATTTCTGCATTTTGTTAAAGTAATAATGTGTTAACTGTATTGTATGTGAGTAAATGTTCTAAAGTCAAAGTATGTATTTTATTTATTGTGATGAATGCTGTATATTTATATTCATGTGCTTTTCTTTGTTTCCTCTGTCATTTACAAATGTGCTACATTATTAATAAGAAACATACATACATATATATTGTGAAGTCACTGTAGGTGAATTTTGTGGCATTAAGTGAAAATATATTTGGAATTTGATGGATTCAGTTTGATCTAGATATCTTGCTATTTTTATATTATTCTTAACTCCTTATTTCTTTGTTACAGACATTATCATAAAAAAGCTGTCTGAAGAAAATCTTACATTATTCTGTAGTCGGAATTTGTGAAATGCAAATGTTAAGAAGATTTTTTTCCTCTAACAGTCACAAAGTCTTGGGTAGAAATAGATATTTTTTCAGCAATATTTATATAAGTACACAAAAACTGTTACCATGTAACAAAAATAAATGTATTTTATTGTTTAATATTCAACTCTTTGGAAATACTATGTTCTAAAATGAAAATTCATCAAATACATGCGATATTTTTTCATTTAATTATCCTTAAGATAATCTAATTTAGATATGTTAAAACTGCCCTATCTGTCAGTATTTATGTGTTAAATTTTCCCTTTTGTTAGCATCAACTAGATTAGCTTTTGTAACGTGATCGTGTTAGCAGATATTTGGCATTTGTCTTTAACTACAGCCTGATAATAATGTCAACATTAATATCATGTCTCTACAATAGTATGATGTCATTTGACAACAACAAATTTATATAAACTAGACTGTAAAGAAATTCAAAAAACATTTAGAATGAGGGAATCAAAATATTTCTCTCTTGACTTGGCAACTGTTTCAGGATAGAGTCAGAATTTATAGAAGTTTATATGTGATTTTTATGGGAATCTAGAGTAAAACCTAACTGATTCTTTTATTTGTTCATATTACATCTCCTGGTTGACAAACCTATGTGACTATTGAACAATGTCCAAAGCAGAAAGTACATAAAATTTTCCTGATTTGGGTAGGTTTCCTAAAACATGTCTGCCCAGTGTCATGAATTTTTTGCCAATTGTTTCAAATAGATTTGGCAAGAGGAGAAAGTTCAAAAAGTAAAAGTTTACTTCAGTTGATTTAATGCACTCAGCATAGTAGAACATGTATAGTTTGCTCATTAACTTTGTGTTCAGTGATCACAATAATGGTTGTATCTCGGGTGTATTATTTTATATAAGATATTGTCCTATAATATCATCAAGTTTTATGTCTTCTTTTGATGTGTCATCATTGTAAATGTGCTTGTGATAAAATACTGGAATAAAAAGTGCACATTTTACAAACTTGTCTTATTTCATATTTCCAGGTCTGTTTGTTGTGTAGCAAATGGTCATCTTAATTTTTTTGTTGTCTAAGTAGCATATAAAAAGTATATGTTAAAACTGCCCTACGCTCCTGGCATCTGCATCTAAAAGTTCTGATTTGAATATTTGTGCAACAATTTGTTTCTGTTTACACAACAGCAGTTTCACTTTTAGCTGGATTATTGTATCTTTATAATGGGGAGTGCTGTTTTTGGTACCACATGTTTGGCTTTTGCTTTAAATACATGTTAGTGACCATCATCCCCACTTCCAGGCAAGAGTGCATAGCTCTGTCAAGTTACTGACAAAATTATGCTTCTTTTTGACTTACATTTTTTGTGAAGTTTTAAATTTCCCCAATTATTTGCTATACTCTGATTTTAATACTTCTTAGTGACTATTATGCCCACTTCAAGAGGACATAACTCTGTCACCTACTTCCAGTAAAGAGGACATAACCCTGTCTCGGATTTTGGCAAAATTATGCTCTTTTCGTAATCTATCCATCTTAGCTACAGCAGGTGTGGTGATTTTGACCCCTGGTGTTACTTTTAGTTTGTTACACCCCATGTTAGCCAAAATCATCTTTTCCTGTATGACCTTTACTGCGTTGGTGACTGTAAAACCAAACCAAACAAAAAAAAACATTTCATTGCATTGACAAACAAACTTTAAACTTTGTTTATATATGAACCCATACAACAAGGACATATAAATTTAAAATGTTAGTTTGCCCCTTGTTTGGCTCTCGTTTGCCTTTTGATAACGTTAATTTCTTTAAACTCGTAATACTTTTTTTTTCAAAATTAAACTGTGTTTCTAAAGGGCAGATAACGCAGAAAGTAAGTTTTGCTTAAATTATCTCCTATTCTGATATCTTTATATTTTCCTTAGTGCCACTATCATGGATTATAATCGCTTCAAAATTGAGACACTTTTATACTGTTAGATGTTATTCTGCCAATCAGTTCTGCATAATTAAACACTCTTTTTCTACTTTGCTTTTACAATACTATTCAGCATTGGAACACAATTAATGCTACTCGGATAGCTTTGGTTCGATTTAAACCATATCACTAGAAGATCCTATCCGGAAACGAAATGTTCCCTGTCCAAGGCCAGTTGATTCTCGAGGGTATGTAGAGCTGGAAGTACACAAGTTCCAACTAAGCCGAGACTTTACTTTAAGGCATCTGAAAAAGGATATTCTAGCTTTTCACTCAAAGTTTGTTTTGGTACCAGCGGACAAGGCGGCTAATAATATCATTATTGTATGACTTATCCATTATATAACGTTTTGCGTAAGGAACTTTGATATGCAGGCTTCTTTCAAAATTCCATTTTGTTTAGTTCCGCCCATCGTTTTTTCGTTCGGGGCACACGCTTTCTATTGCTTGGGGACCATACGCCACTTTTCATGGAATGGCACGAAAGTGTCACATTAAAGGTTCCATGATAACCGCCATATGAACACATCTGCGTATGTTTCTAAATTGAAAATTTTACCATTTCATGTTTGAATGTTGAATTCTGCTTCATTCGGTGGTAGTGGGCGTGGACGGTAGTTTGTATTTGACAGTACCGTCCATGAACAGGCTCAATCAAATCCAACCTGCAACATTTTCAATTTTGCCGTTTTGTGCTTTCTTTAGTGTTTTTATTTTCTCAATTTAATAGTATATTTTAAAACTACTTATGAAAAAGACATTGCTAACAATCACATCTCTAATATTTCCAGTCTTAAAGTCCGAACCGATTAAAAAGAACAAAAACTTCCTATTATGTATTAGATTCCTAAATTACATAAAAAAAAGTTACAAGGCCAGATTCATTCTAGCACCACAAGTAAACTTTCTATTTTATTGACCTCTTGTTTGACTGCCATTAAAACACATGTGATAAGATATTGTGATAAAGTGTACGAAAACACCGGCAAACATCTATTTTGGTCTATTAAGAATTCTGGTGAAATTTTGGATAAATTGAAAATTAAGATTTATCAGGCTTCAACTGTCAGTACATACGATTTTTCTACCCTTTATACTACACTGCCACATAATTTAATTTATGATAAACTAACTGTCCTAATTCAGAAAACCCTTGCACGACAAAATGTTTCCTTTCTTGCATGTAACTCTCAAAAAGCATTCTTTACAAACTGTATTGTTAAACATTTTACCATGTGGACCTGTGAGCACTCTCTTTTCTTTTAGACAATATTTATGTCAGGTTTGGTAATACCCTATTTAAACAAATCATAGGAATTCATATGGGTACTAATTGTGCACCCCTGGTCGCCGATTTGTTTTATATTGCTATGAAAGAGACTTTATGTTGAATCTCTCCGAAAATACACAACAAGATGTAATATTAGCATTTAACACTTCCAGATATCTCGTCTATGGTGAGTACCTTCCCTTTTACCCCTCGTTTAATTTTTTTAAATTTTGCACCCCCTTTCCCCGAATCTCATGTCCCTTCCCCTGTGCCCTTTTACTTTTTGGGCTTATTAAAGAATCATTTATTTGTTTTCTTTGATTTCCTTGTCGGTAACTATTATTTCTTCTTATGTATCATTTTAGTGGATAGCCTGTCCGTGCCCTGCCTGGCGCTCTGTCTTGTTTTTGTTTTGGTCCTCCTGGGCTCCTTGCCACTGGTTCTTGTTGTTTGGTTGTGTGTGGGTTGAGTTCATTGAACGCCGCCTTTCCTTGTTGATCTTGTTTATGATATTCCAATGTTTGAACCACGTGATGTTCCTATAGAAATCATTATAGGATCCAATGTTATCAATTCAGCCTCGTTTCCATTTCCGGAGTTAAGCACTTTCATCTATCTTACAAATACCTGCGTCACAGCTGAGCTCGTTGCGCGCACTACTTGTGAAAGCTAAATGTTAAATCATAAGGAAATTTTATGGTGGCTGATTTGGAACGCTTTTATTCATTGTGTTCTCGCTAGCGACAGCACGACAAAGCGCCAAACGGCGCGTTATCGGACTTCCGTCTTATCCTCCTGTCGCTAACGATGCGCGCCAAACGGCGCGTTGTCTTGCTGGGTGTCACATTGTCGCTCGGGTCAAATCGAATGATTGGCTTATAAGTTATCAACCAAGCGACAGGGCGACATCGCGCAGCATGACAACGCGCCGTTTGGCGTGCTTCGCTAGCGACAGGACGACAGTGCGACAACGCGACGTTTGGCTCGTTTTGCTTGCGACAACACGAAAAAGCGATAACAATAAAGATTGTTTTGTCGCTATCGACAACGTAACGCGCAAAATGTACCAAATCAGCCACCATAGAATTTTCCTACAGAGATTAAACTTTTTTTCAGAGTTACGTCTCAATTCTCAGGATTTTCATTGGGAAGTGAATATTCTGTGGCAGTTTCTTACCAATCAAATACCAGAGATCTCAGTTTGAGCTTATGTAATTTCTTTATAACCTCGGACACAGATCGAAAGTAAAATCAACTGCATTTAGCCCATATGTGACCTGGACCATGGTCAGCATAAATGACCTATATCACGCATGAAACAGCAACTGATAAGCGAAACAGTATTTAAATTATCATCAACGGAATCATCACATAAAACACGTGCTGCAACTGCACTCCGTAGACTTATACCTTAGACAGTTAATTTTTAGTTTTTATTTGCCATGCTAATATATGTCAACTTCTACAAGTTTAAAGAATAACCGAGTAAACATATTTTGTACTATTGTGTCGATAATACGCAAGAGTAATTTCTTAATATTACAGTGGAACGTGTACAAGTGAATTAAGCTTATGTAATACATTACTCAACAAAAATTCACCATTGTTTAAATAGATATTATATTATTTAGATAAGTGTTGGATTTGCAGGTATCGAATTTATTTTATGGTACAAATGTAAACACATGTTATAAAAGATTGTACAATACTTATTGTACAATAGTACAGTCACGAGGTCTATCTTTACTTCCTGGTGGGTAATACCAAACAAAATTTATTATTCTATCAGCAAACATTCTTTATGGTAGTGATTTATATATTCAAACTTTAAATAAAAATGATAAAATATTCAATGTGAATTGAGGATAATTCTTCCATATGTATTGAAGTGTTGTTTTATAAGACTTAAGAAATAAAAAATGTGAAAAAAGATAGTTTCGAGTGTGCAGGGAATGGAGTTCTATCAGGGTCGATTACCATTAGAATGGCTGATGATACTAGTAGTGATAATCGGATAAATACAACAAACAATGATAACTTCACCGGTTTATACATCATTCCTGGAAACGTAGATGGTCAAATGATACTATGTGGGCAACCAAGTAACTATCGGAGGAATTTAACAAATGTTACTGAATTATCATCGTATCACCCTTCCACTTGGTTCAGCTTTGTAGATGAAGTACAAATATCTTTATTTATGAGTGATCACCGTTTTCCAAAAGTTGAATGTCAAAACGGAACATATATACGTCATCACGAACTTATGAAGAAAGTCGTGTATATGACACTGTCAAATAATGCCATAGCTGAACTATGGAATTACACGTTTGTAAAATTTCGATATCTTAAACATCTGGATTTATCTAGCAATAATATTGCATTTGTACCATCCCTTGCATTTTCAAACCTTTCTCACCTAGAAACACTTGATTTGTCGAGAAACGAATTGTCAATCTTAGACTTTGACTATTTTCTTTCTTCCGTTATGAAAAACAGTGTATCACAAAGTCTGAGATATCTCAACCTGGTGTCCAATCGAATAACCTCGTTTTCATGTTCACCGACAGCAACAAAAACTTTTAACGAATCTGAATATTTTAATTATAATTATACACTAGATGTATCATACAACAACATATCCAACATTTCACCATCATGCAGTGATAAGATTGTAACTTATTACAAGAATGTCACAATAGTTATGAATGGCATCACCATGAACTGCAGCTGTAGCACGAGACGTAATTCTACTGCCGATACAACTTATGCAGATCTGCAGAACTGTACTTGTCCCGAAGCCGATGACTCAAATATCTCTTCACTGAAATTTTCCTACATGGGATTTTCGTTGTGTGTTTTGACATTGTCATTCCCTGTGATAGCGTTCGGTTTTTATATTATAGTTCGCAGAAAGGAAGCTAAACGAACTGAATCTCCATTGTGCAGAGAAACGTTCTGTACAAATGTGGTACAAATAACAGAGAACGATCCGTGTGCTGGACAGACGGGTATAATCTATTCCTATGTTTATATCGTGGCTTCATCAAAAGATTCGGACATTATTGACACGTTTGTGGAGGAGTTAGAAACTAAAAGAAACATTCCAGTTATATTTCAAGAGAGAGATGAGATACCAGGGTATTTCAAACTAGAGATGTTTAGAAAGTGGATACATACAAGTAAAAGGACAGTATTCTTGTTAAGCTCGAATTTCTTCCAGGATACACATTGTACACATATATTAAAACAAGCCAAGGCAATAGAGGTTGTCGAGAAACGTGTTATAGTGATTATCATCAAACTAAATGATGACATGTCTCACACTGAAGCTCTACAGATGTGTGATATGTTAGTTAACAGTATCTGCTTAGATTTTACACCATCTGAAGAATTCTGGGATAAACTGATTCAAATCATTTATAATAGTAGAATGCATGCACATATATCAAATACTGGTACAACATAATCATGTATTACATATATTCTTCTTACTATAGAATCATGTAGTCAATGGAAATGTTTTCTTAGAAAACAGTAAAGTTTGATACAAAGTAATTAAGATATATTTATTGTCAATCATTTCTATACATAATATCACAGAATACACAAAATCAAATTCATATAATTAAAACTTTACAATACACTTATATTTATACATTTTAATAAGTGTTCTTAACAATTAAAAGACTATTTTGTAAGTTAGTAAAGTAAATATGTCATTTTAACTGTTTCCAAATTGGCATAAATTAACTAAGAACTTTGATCCAATTAAAATTGAGGGCAGACAGGTTCCACATATCATCTGTGTTACAGTCAGCTTTAATGTATTTTACAGATAAATATAAAACTTTGGTTTTTAGCAAAATTTCTAAATACATTTGTAAATGTGAAGCTATCCTAAGATGTGATTGGTCAAAAGATATTTCTGGTGTGCTCAGCACGTTGTTATTTCAGAATTTGTATTTCAACTTACAATGAAGTATCTCATATATTGTTTTCTTGTTTCTAACACTGATTTTTTATTTGTTATACATCTTTTGGTCACATGTCAACCATAAATCCATCTTTCCTAGACAACTAGCAGTAATAACTAATTTCTCAGCAGAGACTTGGGGCAAAGCAAATAATAACAGTTTTCCTTGCTTAAACATGTATCAGATAAAAATATTTATTATATATAATATATATTTATTTGTGAAATTGTTTTTATTGTAATTTGAATTGTTGTGTAATATTCTGTATTATGTATTTTGTGAAATGTATTTGTCTTGTATTATATTTGTTTGTAATGTGATGTCTCATACTTATTCGTTACAGGTTTTATTCTTTATTAAATAAACATATATAAACATATCAAGGTGTTTATTGTTGGAACCCCCCACTACATTAGCTTATGTCTAAAGTACATAATTCAATTTACTATTTTATCACGAGGAATCCATGCTTGAAAATTCATCTTCATCATCATAATCCCATACCTGTAAATATATTTATATACATATATAATGCATATTAAAACAGAGAGTCTGTAAAAAATGAACAATTAAGTTGATAGTGTATAACAACAAACCATGAAAAAATTATGAATTGATGTTGTTTGCAATTGCCAGATACATACCCCAATATAACATATTTATTTAGCAAATAATAAAATATTGCAGAACAAAATATTATTATTCATCACAAAAATGTTCATTCTAAATCACTTTGAACTTAATCAACATTTTTTCTTTCAGGCAACACATTGTAAGAATATCCAAATGATATTTTTTATCATTTTTATCAATATTTTGAATTACTTACAGAAAATGTGCCTATTGTAGACCTATTCATTTTAAGGTATCAAGAAATCTAACTGATATAGAATCCAAAATTTTTAATCTTTCAATTATGTTTAGTTCTTAAATTCCTGTCCAGTAATCTTTATTTAATCATGTAAATTCATCTAAATCATCAATCAAAAAGTGTTTTGTTATTGACTGCTCTAACAACACTTGATTCTAACTGATGACCTTAGTTCGTATGGAACAAGGTGAGGTACTATACCTCTGCTTCAGCGGTCTCCTGGTGCATCTGTGTCAACCCAGTCAGATCCTCCAGGTAGTGGGTCTCATTGAAAGCTTTTAACAGGAAATTAAACCCTTCACTCTTGTACTGATCAACTACCTGTATAAATATATCATACCATTATATATACATGTAGTGTGAGACTCAAAAATGATAAACTGAAAATACCTGAAATTACACTCCTACAAAACTGTGTTTAAAATACCTGAAAAATAGTTTATTTCTTTTAAATACTTCTAAAGCTTTTACAACTACAATGTATATAAAACGGTCAAATAATAATTATATTACCGATTACAATATTAAAATAGTTGAAGTGAGCATCAATATGTTAAGTAAATGATCACACAGTATTGATGTACATGCCAGCCTGCCCCAATACTGGCAACATAAGTCTTTCATTATTTCTGTTAAATATATATGTTTATGTATTACACATTTGCTAAAACTGTTCATATTATCATGTATATATATAAATATATAGATACACAAGACACATGACAGGTAGAAATCAACATAATATTCCCTGGATTATGTGAGATTGTATATATTAATAATTTATGAGTAGGCACATTGTTTGAATGAAATTCTGTCAACTTCTGTAACATTTTTGTTATAAAATTCTGATAGAAAAAAACTGTATTAATCATTCACATTTGTTTGTAATTGGTTAACATTATGTGTACAAGCCAAAAAAATTACTAACAAAAGAGTTCCATGTTTAAATTTTATGATGGAAATTGATAGTCATGATGTAAAAGTTAGTTTATGAAAAAGCAATTTCATTTATGATAACCAATACAGAATATGTGGGTTGTCCCAATATTCTGTGACAAGATTGTTTAAAAGCTAAATAAAATAGACCTGTACAAATTTGATATTTTCATATGTTAGGAAAAATATGTGAATATGTAAATGATATTTGTAATTAAGTTTACTAATGTACATAGTTTTGATACCTAGTATAGAGACCTATAACTTAGTGGTTTATAGATTAATTTTGATAAGAAAATATTCATTATGTAACTACTTATGAAAACTATAGCTGGTATTTTCTTTATCAATCAAAATTGATTTTTTCCAAACATTAAAGCTGCACGCCTCTAGATGAACCAAAAATATTTCAAGAAAAACAAACTTAAGAAAAATGTACTCAGAGAAGTAAAAATATTTAAGATGCAAGTAATTATTCATGTGCTAAATGTCTTTAACGACCGAAGTCGCAGTACTTATTAACATATTTCTACTGCGTGTGCTAACGCAGTAATGGATATTATTGTATATTTTGGCCTTTTTTGGTAATTTAAGTAGACTGTAAATGCTTTTTGTAATGTGTAAATTATTCACTACACTATATTTTTCTTTTAGAGACATTTTCAAAATTTACATGAAGAATGAGCATGAATCTGGAGGCATGCTGCTTTAAATGATTGTTGATATTATGTTATGTTTATATGTGTTGATGTCACACACTGTTTGTTATTTTGCATGTTTTGTGTCCTCATGAGCTTTAAAGCCTATTGAAATAAAATAAAAATGTTCACTGTATGAAATACTTGTATCTTACCATTTTAGAGCATGCAGTACATTTATCAAATGCCCGACTAGCAGGCATTATCTGCTGAAATCTTGACAAAAATCCTCGTATCTGAAATATAGATAAACTAAAATATAAGTCAACATGAACTGTTTACATATTCCTGTAAATATTAAAGATTTACACCATGATCTTCAAATAAAAACCTTGACGGAAATACTACTCCCTACAGTAAAATAAACACCACAAAACAGTTACTATTGCAATAGAGGATGATTTCAACACTAATGAGTAATACATGTACATGTATCTTTGACACCATAAAATATCATACTAAGAAGGAACAAGTATTGGATAGATATTAAAGGAAATTTCAGATGAAACTAGAAATGTGTCCATAGGACACGGATGCCCCCACACGCCACTGTTCTGTCAATCTTATGACTAGATCGAATATTTTTTGAACTACATATGCCACAAACTGAAAACTAAAAATCAACAAAGGGCCATAATTCTGTTAAATTTGGTCGCAGCGAAAATTCCTTCCTTTACTACCATCTAAACATTAAGGTTATTCATCCCTGGAAGTTTAAGCAAAATCTGCCATCCAGTTTAAGAGGAGTTGCATTCACAAAATTTCTACATAGTATACAGTGAAAAAATCAACAAAGGGCCATAATTCTGTTAAATTTGGTCGCAGCGAAAATTTCTTCCTTTACTACCATCTACACATTAAAGTTGTTCATCCCTGGAAGTTTAAGCAAAATCTGCCATCTAGTTTAAGAGGAGTTGCGTTCACAAAATTTCTACATAGTCTATAGTGAAAAAATCAACAAAGGGCCATAATTCTGTTAAATTTGGTCGCAGCAAAAATTCCTTCCTTTACTACCATCTACACATTAAGGTTGTTCATCCCTGGAAGTTTATGCAAAATCTGCCATCCGGTTTAAGAGGAGTTGCGTTCACAAGATTTTGGGACGTACGGACAGACGGACACTCGGACGGACAAGTGCAATGCTATATGCTCCCACTCTGTGGGGGCATAAAAACATTTGATATACTAAGGAGGCTCAGTAAAGCCACTAACTGGAGAATCATACAGAAAAGAAGATGTCAATACAGATACTGATAGCAATTATGCTGCTATGATTACACAAATATGACTATAGAGAGATGAATGTTTACCTGATGAGGAACAAGTCCTAGAGAACAACTATCAGCATCTAGAAAATCATCCCCTGTACCAGTATCACCTGGGGCACAGCCTCTTTCTGGATGTTGTAATACAGAAACTAACAATTCTACAGCTAAAGCACTTGCTATAAATGACATTCCAGGACGAGAAACAGTGCATTGCTGATCCAAGGTGCGATCTTTTGTAGACTGAAATAACACAAAATGTGAGTTTATAAGCTATTATACTGTAAAAGTGGATATTTCCGCGCGTCCAAAAAATTATCAAATTTAAAATTTAAGACCTTTTGCGCGAGAAAATATTAGCATATTGTGCAAGGGTAGAATTTAATGACAGGTTATTTGATATTTACCTAGAGGAAATTTTAGTGATTTTCGTTAATTTGAGAATTTCACCAATATTTCAGATTGGCTAGCTTAACCTGGCATTTATACAGTAAACCTAATGTATTCAACTTATCTTTTATAAATTTCAAATCATCATACATCTACACTGAGATTTAGGACTTTAATCAAAAGAGCAAATGCTTTTCTTACTAAATATATGGACAGTGTTAAATGAATAAATAAATTACATGTACTATTAAACACCTGTTAAAAAGTGGCGGAAAGGCAGAGTGGTTAACGCATCAGACAAATTATATATAGATTGCTAGCCATGCAGTTTCAAAAGCCCATCACAGGCAAGCCCTTGTTTCTATGGGCAAGAAACTTTACACTTATTGTTCAGTATTGGTTGGTTCCTGGAACGGATTCGAAAGTGTGTCTATAAGCTTATAGCTTCCTACACAATCAAACTAAAATTCTGTATAAACCAAACATCTGAACTTTGTAAACAAACCTTATACATTGATCAAATCTACTACAAATGGAATGACCTTACTCCACAGTTTTTCAAAAAAACAAATTGTGTGACATACTGTATATAACTACTGGTAACAAGAGAGTAATGTGAGTGTGTTTATGTTTGTTTAACCTCGCCACCAGAAAACAAATATTTGGGCGAGCAAAGAGCATAATGATATAAAGATGTAAAGTTTTTGCTCACATCTCCTGGTGCTACAACATCATTGCAGAAATAGCATCCTAGATGGTTCCCCGGAATGATTTTAGACAATGGAGCTTTCTGTTGACTGATTCCTTGTTCATCATATGACTGGTACCCGTGTCTCATCACCAGGAATGTATCAAAGCCAAGAGCTGAGCAAATCACAATCTGTCCAATATAAAATTATGGAAAATGTCTATTAACTATCAATCTTTACCTTTGTTGTTTTTTTTTTTTAATAGTTTGGTAAATTATTTTTTTTGGTTGGGTTTTATGGTGCACCAACATGCTATAAATTGTATGGTGAATTTACCAGATTTACTGGTGGAGGAAGGTGCCCTTCCATACATTATTACAGGCGCGAATGGGCACCTGAGTAGAACCAACAACATTCCTTAACTAGCTGAATAAAGTGGATAGCTTCCTCAAATGAAAGAATCCGAAGTCCCTGTCGGGATTCAAACCAAGAAGAATGAGGGGCAAGTGATTTAAAGTCAACAACCTTAACCACTTGGCCACAGAACCCCCTATCATTGTTCTCTATCATAGTAATTTACTTAAGACAGCAAAAAAAACTCCTTATTTGTTTTACAAGTATCATGAAAGAATTTCAAAGTCATTATTGTAAGTAAATATCAATCTTTATATCACAGAATGATGATCATATGGTTATATGTATGCATGAAATACTCTAAACAAAGTTAAATGTATAGTTTTATCGTTCCATGCTTGAAGGGTATCTTCTTAGAAAATTCTATCAGCAATATTAGAGGCTTCCTGGAATAAGGTAGTTTTGTCTGTAACAAAAATTCAAAATTACAATAGTGTCTTAATAAGGATCTTCTATATGAATAATTTATATGAGTTTTCAGATTTTCTCAGTAGCTTGTACATTAAATTTGTCATTTACATAATATTTTATTATACAACAATATAAACATACTTTCTTCTTTGCAGCGGCCATGACAGTTGGCAACCATCTACTTTCTCGTGTATCCAGCAACAGGAATACTGCATCATGGGAAGATATCAATGAATCAAGCTTTTCTACATCTTCTCTTGTTTGTTTTATTGCACTTTCTGTAAAAGCAAATCAAGGGAAATAAACATAACACTTCTAGCTTTAAATTATCAAGTCAAATAAGGTCAAGTCAACAATTAATTTAATTCAAAGGTCATGGACCCAAACTACATACTATACAGGTTTTTTGAAATGCATTACTATAAGAGTTATGCCTTAATTTTAAATAAGAGTTTTAATTTCGTAGAGTGAAACATAATAGGATATTAAGACATTGACACCATGGATAAACTCATGCTTTTTAGATGAGTAAAAATATTTTAAGAAATTCAATCTTTAGAAAAAATTATTAAGCTCTGAAGAAAATTAAAAGTATTCAATATTTAATTAATTATTTACATGTTATGTGAAATTAATGACTGATTTTGCAGTATCAATTACTATCTTTCTACTTCGTTACTAACGCAGTAAGAGGTATTAATGTATATTTTGACCTCTTTTTGGTATTTACGTGGATTGTAATATGTAAATAACTTTCTTGGTTCACTTCCCAGTATTCAACTTTAAATACATTTTCAAAATTTTCATGAAATTAGCATGAATCTTGAGGCATGATGCTTTAACTTTCTAAGTATAAGAAGATAAATTTATCCAACTAGCTTAAAGGAACACAGTTCTTAGGGGTATTAAGCATTATAAAACCCTATTCAACCAAAAAAACCAAAATTTTGCATCAGTGTGAAGTTCCTGAACATATATATTTTCAGATTTTTTCAGACATGTATATTACTGGCAAAACTGGCATACCTGATACAGTATGGCCTGGCATAGGTATTGATAAATTCACTCCTTCACTATTCTGAAATTATAAAATACACATATAAAATGATTGTCATAAACTTCAAAATCTTCATTTATTCTATGAATATGTTAAAACAGTCACATCAACTAATATTTGCAATTATGCTGCTATATTTGTATAATGTGTTGTTACCGGTAAATGAAAGGATATACTAGAAATGTGTCCATAGGACACGGGTGCCCCCACCTCGCCACTGTTCTGTCAATCTTTTTACTAAGTCAAGGGAAATAACTCTACAAATACTGGATAAATCCACAAGCGAAACCCCAGGTGCAAATCAAAATATGCTGAGCAACCTGCCCATAAGGTTTAATGACTATGTCAAATCCTTTTTGAGTAACTTGCGACACAAGTTGAAAATTGCAAAAAATTTCTAAGTGAAGGGCAATTACTCTAAAAATACTAAATAAATCCAGACAAAAAATACCTGGTGCACAACTGCACATGCTGATCAATATTCCTGTAAAGTTACATGACTCTAGGTCAAATACGTTTTGAGTTACGTGCGACACATGTTGAAAATTGCAAAATTTTACTAAGTCAAGGGCAATAACTCTGAAAATACTAAATATATCCAGACGAAAATACCCAGGTGCACAACTACACATGCTGATCAACATTCCTGTAAAGTTTCATGACTCTAGGTCAAATACTTTTTGAGTTACGTGCGACACATGTTGAAATTTGCAAAATTTTACTAAGTCAAGGGCAATAACTCTAAAAATACTAAAAATATCCAGACGAAAATACCCAGGTGCACAACTACACATGCTGATCAACATTCCTGTAAAGTTTCATGACTCTAGGTCAAATACTTTTTGAGTTACGTGCGACACATGTTGAAAATTGCAAAATTTTACTAAGTCAAGGGCAATAACTCTAAAAATACTAAAAATATCCAGACGAAAATACCCAGGTGCACAACAACACATGCTGATCAACATTCCTGTAAAGTTTTATGACTCTAAGTCAAATACTTTTTGAGTTACATGCGACACAAGTTGAAAATTGCAAAATTTTACTAAGTCAAGGGCAATAACTCTGAAAATACTAAAAATATCCAGACGAAAATACCCAGGTGCACAACTACACGTGCTGATCAACATTCCTGTAAAGTTTCATGACTCTAGGTCAAATACTTTTTGAATTACATGCAACACAAAAGTGAATGGACGGACGAAAGGACCGACAAGGGTAAATCTAAATGCCCGCCACTAATGTGGGGGCACAATAAATGATTTAAGCTACATAGGCAGCAGTATAGAGTATGGTAACACTGTTCAATATACATGTACTGATGACATAATTGAGTCAGGATAAAAAATAATGTTAGGGCAACTGTTTAGGTTGTTAAAAATAAATATTTGGGGAATCGTTGAGATCCCATAATTACATGGGGTTTAAATTTAATGGGATTTCCATGACATTTATTAAACTAAAATTATATACAATTACAAACAAATGAACTCTGCATGAAATCTTGTTCTTATAAATCAAACAAATATGCAAATGATAAGACATAATTCAAACATGTATTGATTTTTCAGGGAAAGGTCTTAATATTAAGATACTATAATGATACGCCTATACCTCTGATACAGAATCAGGCATGCTTCATCTGCATACAATCTAAACTCACCTGTTAAATGTAAGTACTTTGATATTAAAATCACCTCAATTCAGTTCAATCACAAATATAACAAAATAAAGGTTCATAATTATTTGTGATTAAAACAAAGAACACTTACCACACCAGGAAAGATTTTCTTCAGAGCTTCAGCTGCAGCTAGAGCTTTCAAACAGCCTCCTGCAGTCTTTTTACAATCATCAAACACAAACAATGTCTGTCGTACTGGATTGCTATATGATACACGTCCATTATCCACCAATGTTATGTTCCGTACTCCCCAACCCTAATATTGTTAAAGTGTATAAATTTAGTTCAGTGTTTTACAGAACTTCTTTCTTAAACAGGGATAATTGTCAATCTAAACTGATTCTCTTAAACCAAAATACTTTTACATACACTGATCTACATGTAAAAAGTTTTAATGAACCTTAAAATCACTAAAAAATACCCAGCTGATAACAGAAGAGATAAGCTTTTGCTAAAAGTATAGACCAGCTTGCACATTTGTGGCACTACTGTTGGTTGCTCAGCCTTTGTTTATTGGTACGGAAATCCCTTCAACTTCGAATGAACTATTTAAATTACAAAATGGGCAAATTTATTGCACAAAGTCAGCGGGTTAAGGGTTAAATGAAAATCCAGCATTTATTTTCATCTTTTAATTCATTACTGTACATTTTTATTGAACTTATTGTTGTAAAGACAAACAGCTTCTGTGCAATACTTGTATTACAAATTAAGAATTACATATTAATTTATACAATAGTATTATAATTTATAGATCACATAAAATGAAAGGTAAATACTGAATTCATTTCAATACAATATTATCATACAAGTTTAATAATATACAACGTAAATCCTTGAAAATAGTTGAGTCTGCTATATTCTCCTTACATTGTAAATGAAGGCGGCTTAATGAACCTAACTAAATAAATTATAATACTTCAATCTGAAAGGAAAATAAATATTTGTTTTGGGGAATATTACTAAAACATAAAAGCAACAATTTATATTACCCATACATTTAAAAAAAATTATAACAAACTTATAAAGGAGTGAAAAGTAATTCTGTACAAACCAGTAAGCACCTTGCAACATTACATCCCAATGTTCCTGCTCCTAGCAGAAGACATTTTGTCTTGGCAACAGTTTCTAGGTCAAGGTTAGGTAGCAGACGCCATCTCATCAGCTTCAAATTGAGGTCAACTGCCGACTCAGAAAGTCTGAAATAATATCAAATAAAATACATATACTTTCATTTCATCATAACATCAAATATATTTGTTTAAAAATAAAAACGAGAGCTGTTGGAGGAGATTAAATACATGATGTAGTTAAGAGAGACAAAACTATAAAGAATCAAAACTACAATAAACATGTATTATATAATAACAAGAAGGTACTCAAATGTCCATCTTTTTCACACTACGTATCATGCATATGACCATGTCAATGAAAGTGCAACAGAAAATATCAACAGAAATTTCAAAAAGAAGACAACTCTTGAAATAAAGATGCTAGAGATATTAACCTTGTCAAATATGATGGGAGTGATGAAAAGAAAGTCATAAGTAACAAAGAAGATAAAGTAACAAAAACATTAACAATTTTCAAGGAAATTTTAAGTTCAAAATGAAGACTATTCTAGAACTATAAGTGCTAGATGGATGAACATTTATCACAAATTATGTATGTGTTGGTAAAGAAAATTTTTTGAAGTTTCTTGAAAACCCTTGAAGAAAAAAAAAAGAAAAAAGTAAGGTTATTTTTCAACTTTCAGAAGATATCATTCTACATGTATAAAATATTGATGCAAGAATTATGGACCTTATCATATTTGTTGTTGATGTAGGTAAGAAATATATCTTAAGTTTAAAGTAAATCCCTCAACTTAACAAGAAGTTAATGTAAATTTTACCAAAAAAAGTGTAATATTAAGGGGAACTAAATCACTATGGTGATGGACCTTATCAAACATGATGTGGCCAATGATAAGGAAAATTGTTTTTATGTTTAAAATAAACCCCTTATTAAAATTCAGAAGTTACAGTAAAACTAACAAAAAAGAGGGAAGGGGCAGTATACCCCCATACAATTTGCCACAATAATCTCACTAACAAGACAAATTTCTTTTGGATTTTCCTTAATTTCTTTGGACACACCTTGCAATAACAAAATACTTATATTTTCTTTTATTTTCAAATATCACATTACCATCCAACTGTTATTGTTTGAAGACATGCTGTATCAAGTATTAAAACTTATCTCTAACTTTACACTAATATTTTCCCTTGACAAGACTCCCTTACAACTATTTCACAGTTCAGAACAATATTCATTGCTGTATGTAAACAAACCTGACAGGATCCATTGAAGAACTCAAATTTACAAGTCTTGGTCCAAGTTTATCTCTTTCATTTTTCTCCCATCCGACACATTTTGGACAAGCTGTAAAAAAACAAAAACAAGTCTGTAACATTTTATATTGATGTTGTCTTATGAACTATTCTTTTCATTTATCTTTAAAGCAGCACGCCTCCAGATTCATGCTAATTTTCATGAAAATTTGAAAAAGTATTTAACATTATAATATTGTAAAGTTACCAAAATAATGCAATTTACACACTATCAATGGCACTTACAACATATGTTAATTACTATAAAGAGGTCTAAATATTTGCACAATAGCCTTTACTGCGTTAGTAACGCAGTAGAAATATAGTTATAAAAACTGAAAAATTGGTCATTAATCGCACATAACATGTAAATCTTTACTAGAATTTTGAATGTTTATACCTATCCTAAAATCTTAGTACATTTTTCTCAGTATGGATTTTATTGAAATATTTTTGCTTTAAGTAATGAAAAATTAGTTTTTTGCCCAGAACTTTTGTAATGTTCAAGTCTTTGTGAAGAAATTGTCCTCTTTTAATACCTTGTCTCTATGAACTTAAAGGAATTGAAATGAACTTACTTGAACTTCTATGACATCTTTGAAAACAGACAATTGACTGTTCAAGTTAGGACAAATATGTATAAAAAAATCAGAGGGGAAAAAGGATAACCTTCAAATGTTGAATTAACATTACAGATTTATTTTATAATTTCCTTGCCATAATTTCTTGAATACATTGTATGTATACAGATTCAGATCAATCAAAGTCCTTATTTCGTAAGACCTGCATAGATATATCATATAATTGTACAACACACAGGGGATAATAGAATGATACCTACCTGACATGTCAGCCATTGATGACATTTTTACAGTCAGAAATAAGCTATGATTGACATCATGTACACCAGATCTGCTCAGGTAACGGAAACACACAACATCAATGTTATCAAGTCTTGAACCCCTAAAATAAAAATTTCCACAATGAACACTTAAAACAGAAGCATTTTAACAGTAAACATCTGAAACAAATATATCACAGTTGTATATACATGTAATATCTTCAAGCATGACTATTGTTTATATCAATCATAACAAGCCCTTTCGTAAATCATAACATATTCTTACAAATAACTCATATTCAATAACATGCCACTTGTCACCTTATATCATACTTTAGATAAAAGATATTTCAAAACATTTAACAGAATGCTGACCTTATGGTAGAATGCAATGCTTTGCAAAGTTTCAAGTAGCATCTTGAAAATTGGCATGTAAAAAGTTGACTATATTTCAGATTAGATTCCACTAGTTTCAGCCATCTTTTGACAATGAAGTTGACCCGTTTTGGAAAATAATGTGCTTATCCTTATAAAAGTGTTGCATTTTATCTTAAGACCATGTATGCAACCCATCAAAAATGTACTCGTACTAGATATTATGAAAACTGTCAAAATGAAACCAAGTCAGTTTCCAGTTTATTACAATAATATCAAGCATAAGATATTTATCCATTTATCAGGTTTTATAATCCTGAAGTTCTCTTGTTCAGTTTCTTGAACATTTTTGTATCCAGCATTACACTGAAGGTTTATAATCACTCGAGTCCACTTCTGTGATGGAAACTTTTTCTTTCTTTATATAGATGCTTTTCACATAGTAATTATTACCTCCCCTGGCTACCATATTGGGGGTTATTCCCAATATATCTAAGATGAGATAAAAATCTTTCATAATTTTATCATCTTCATGAAAAGTGATAAAAATCTTTTACATATTGGTGCTATAATAGTATTTTGCTGCATATGTATAAAAGAATTTGACAAGTAACTAAAATAGGCTGTTTATATTTTTTCATATACTGTCAATTATATACATGTAGAATGTTGAGTCTCAAAATGGCTGCCACTTTTGGCAAGGGAAGTAAATATTGTAATAATCGGGAACTATCTATAAAGCTTGCATATGGAATTATTTTAATGACTTTAAAGATTAAATAAAGCTGTTACCAATGATACGATATTAGTACCAGAAAATTTCTCAGTGGCCAGCCAGGATAATCATCCATTGTAGAGGGATCAGTGAAAGCAAACACAACCTGTAAAACATTAGAACAAATTTGTATCTTTAAATTTTTGTCCACTTTCCTTAAAATTCATTAATATATAATTATTATATAACAAATATGTATTCACTTTCGTTAAAAGCAATTAATATATCTGACATTGTTCTGGATAAAGCACATCCAGTAAAACATGCAAAACAATTTTTAATAGGTATTAATACTAGGGACTACATGTACATGTATATGGAAACTATATAGCTTTCTCATATAGTGTGAAAAACTGGTAAGATAACAAATGGTTGGCTACATTTGAATAAGAATTTGTAATATTAAAATAATCAAGAAGCTTTTCTGAATCATAATTCCTGTTTGATGGAGCTAACTGGATATACATGTATTCAAACCTCTTCTAATGAATATACCAAATTCAAAATTAACATATTTATAAAACCTGTTCATTTTCCCATCTGAACAATAATATTGTAGAGTGACTATTAAAGCTTGAACTGCCAAAAAACATACTACATGTATACTGCCAAGAAAGACCACTCTGCAATTTCCCCGAAGACAAGTCTTAATTGACTGTTAAACTTTGATTCTTGAAAATTTCAACCTTTCTTAATCATTAAACACGTTTTTAGCAAAAATAAATCATTAATTGATTATTGACAAACCTTTGTGTTATTGTCAAGGTACTTCTGAGTATTGCAAAGTTTGTCTATACACATTGTGTCACCATCTTGAACTATTATAAAATAGCCAACACTCTCTGTAAATGATGCTTGGAATGTGTTGTACTTGTCTATAAGTTGTGTAGTCTGTATGTTAAATTAAAGAACTCATTTAGATAATACATTTCCTTCTACACATATATCTCCTGCACAATTTAATAGTCATTATAATATGTTAATAAATCAGAATTCTATTATATAAAATATTAACATCAAACTATAATTAACCACACGTTAAGTAAATCATTATAGCAGTATGCTGACTGGAACATGTGACCGGTAAACAGGTGACTGAGCTTTAAGCTTATACAGACCTAATTTATGTGTAATATTTCATAGAAAGAGTTGATGGAGCGAGAATTTGAAAAATCTAATAAACAAATGAATGTTACGATATTTATCTAAGTTGGTACATATATTGTGTAATGTTTTCATTTTTACTGTTTTGCCATTGAAAACCCTTCAATGTCTTGTACAAGACTGTTAGTTAAAACAGTAAAAATTTGATGCTATAATACTAAATTAATTTCAATTAAAGAAGGTCAAGCATGATTTACCTGTGCCTGTACATAAACATCAGACAACTTCCGTGGTTTATTCAGAAGTCTGTAATCTGTAGGAGGACACAGACATGGAAAAGCAAACCAATAGTAGAAATGGTACTTCTTTAAATCAGCATATGTTAGAAGTAGAAAACGTGAGAGAAGGCTAGTGTCTTCCAGAGCTCTACCAGAGGTGATAGCTTCCCAAATCTCACCACCAAGCTTATCTAACAGGGACTTTTTATTAATTTCTTTAAAACCATCCAATGTGTTTGTATTGAATAGGGAACCTCTAGCTCTTAAACAACGAGTTGGAGGTTTGGCATTCTCCGTAAATGCTGTATGGTCCAAACTCATCCTACATGGCATGCCTGATGGATCGCCATTGTAATAAGAAGCCTGGATATCTTTTACTGTGTCATCTAGGGCATAGACATTTAGCTTATTGTACGCCAGCTTATGCCAAAAGCCACCATCGAGAAAACTGTTAAATGGTACAAACTGTAGTGCACCAGTCCATGTCTCATCCATGCTTTATACAAATGCAGTTTTGAACTTAAATCTGAAAACAAATAAATCATAGTCTCTTACACTTCACATACAAACAAGAGCAATCAATAATCACATGTGTCGCCTCATGATGGCCAATTTCATGTTGGGACAAGTTTTGTGACAGACGGACAGACAGTGCACAACTAGACTTGGTACTGATCATTCATGTAAAGTTTAGATAAAATTGCACCAGTAGTTTATGAGGAGTAGTCTGAACATGCTTTTGTGTATCTGGCAACACACAGAAAAAAACACCTTTTTATCAAAGGGCCATAACTCGGCCAAAAATCATTCAACCAGAAAACCCATGCAATATGCGCAATGACTTGAGATACAGATCAATCCTGTAAAGTTTCATTGAAATTGCATTTATGGTATAAGAGAAGTAGTCCGGACAATTTTTTAAAATAAAAATTATTAAAGGGCAATAACTCTGACAACAATCATTGAACCGGAAAATGCTGACAATATGCACAACTAGACTTGGTACTGATCATCCATGTAAAGTTTGGATGAAATTGCACCAGTAGTTTATGAGGAGTAGTCCGGACATGCTTTTGTGTATCTGGCAACACACAGAAACACCTTTTTATCAAAGGGCCATAAATCGGCCAAAAATCATTCAACCAGAAAACCCGTGCAACATGCCCAAGGACTTGAGCTACAGATCAATCCTGTAAAGTTTCATTGAAATTACATGAGTGGTATAAGAGAAGTAGTCTAAATAAAAATTACTAAAGGGCCATAACTCTTGACAAAAATCATTGAACTGGAAAATGCTGACAATATGCACAACTAGACTTGGTACTGATCATTCCTGTAAAGTTTGGATGAAATTGCACCAGTAGTTTATGAGGAGTAGTCCAGACAAGTTTTGTGACGGACTGACAGATGGACGGACGACGGAGAAGTGATCCCTATATGTCGCCACTACTCCGTAGAGGCGACACAAAAAGCAAAACTCTATCTAAAACAAGATATGTTTGTAAAACATGTATGCTCCCTATTAGCAGGCTGCAGCCAATTAGTCATGTGATCAGTTTATTATGACTGACTTTTGACCTAGTGACCAAAAATCAACTAGAACTGCCAGTGTCTGACTTTTGACCTAGTGACCAAAAATCAACTAGAACTGCCACTGTCATGGCGTGAATACTCCCGCATACCATTTTGTCAGAACAATAGTGGCCATTTAGAACTCAAGGACTACCACCCTGCCAAATCTGAGGTTACTAAGCCAGTGCATTGCTAAGATATGTATTCTCCATGCTTCAAATGTGAAAATTTTAAAATCAAGATTTTTTAGTCAAGGCCCCTGTGACCTTTACCTTTGACCCAGTGACCTCAAAATCAATAGGGGTCATTTACTAATCATGACTATCCTCCATACCAAATATGAAGATTGTGGATCAAAGGAATCTCAAGTTATTGGGAAGACAAGCTTTTTTAAGTCAAGGCCCCTGTGACCTTCAACTTTGTCCCAGTGACCCCAAAATCAATAGGGGTCATCTTAATCATGACTAACCTCCATGCTGAATATGAAGACTGTGGGTCAAAGGAATCTCAAGTTATTGGGCGGACAAGCTTTTTTTTTTTTAGTCAAGGCCCCTGTGACCTTGACCTTTGACCCAGTGACCTCAAAATCAATAGGGGCCATCTACTAATCATGACTAACCTCAATGCCAAATATGAAGACTGTGGGCCAAAGGAATCTTAAGTTATTGGACGGACAAGCTTTTTAAAGTCAAGGGCCCTGTGACCTTGACCTTTGACCTAGTGACCCCAAAACCAATAAGGGTCTTCTACTAATCATGACTAACCTCCATGCAAAATATGAAGACTGTGGGCCAAAGGAATCTCAAGTTATTGGGCAGACAAGGATAAACTGATGGACGGACGGGGAGACGTCCATCCGTCCCGAAGGCTGGACGGACAAGTATACCCCCTTACAACTTCGTTGTGCGGGGGTATAATGAAGGTCAATTACTGGTAATGACTAGTCACTAGGTAATTGTGACCGCAAAAGTTGTGTGCAGCAATTTTATGACAAAATTATTTCAAATCTTACCAAATAATATATGCATAAATTTTATGAATCATGTAGGCCTCATTAATGACAGCCAAGTTGTCATATTACATAAGACCTTCAAATGTGTATACCAAAAGGATTTTTAGTTTAATAAAAAAATATCAACCAAGGCACCTTGAGTTGTTGTGTTATTGGTCAGAAACAGTCTTTACATACAAGATCAATATGACCATTATGAAATACAAGGTCAATGCAACCTTGACCTTTGTACCCCTGACCCCAAAATCATTAGGGGTCATCTACTGGCCGAGACCAATGCACCTTTAAAATTTGAGGGCCAAAAGCCAATAGCTTGTCAAGTTATTGATAGGAAACCTTTTTAACTACAAGGTCAGTGCAACCTTAATCTTTGACCCCTTGAACCCAAAATCAATAGGGGTCATCTATTGGTCAAGTCCAATGCACCTATCAAGTTTTAGGGCCATGGGCTGTCAAGTTATGAATCTGAAATTTTTTTTTCCTTCAAGGTCAATGTGATCTCGACCTTTGACCCCTTGACCCCATAATTAACAGGGGTCATCAGCTGGTCATATACAATCATAATACCAAAATTGAAATTCTTAGGCCTTAGCCTTCTTGGGTTATTGATCAGAAACAGTTTTTCAGATACTTTCTTTACATAGCTCTGGGAAATTCACCTAATGGAGTGTAATAGCGAACTCGATGTTTTCAGCCTTTTTAGATTAAATTGAAATAAGACAGTTAGATTTTTTTTTATAAGAAAATAATTAAATACCATTGTATGAATAATTTCATACAACAAAATAAAGTAAATACACAAGTTTACGCAGAAAATAACCTTATTTATTATGGAAGATTCCACTACGTCTGTTTAAATTTTATTGATTTTCATCATAAACAATTTATTTTTTTGAAAAATTGCAATACATATTAAAGGAATATTGATAATTTTCACAAAAATCAATTTTTCCACCTTAAACAGTAAAATTATGATAGAAAAATAGAAATATCATGTAACTGCGTTATGTACTTCATTTGGTGTAATTCCCAAGAGCTAAATCAGTAACGTGCCGGAAAACGGTGTTTAGCTATGTTTTCGAAAAGGTCAATCCACTACTGCCTAAACAACTGTATAATATACTCTTAAACACTTTATGATCTACGTAAATACCCGAGGTATATCGAGTGAAAAATACGAGTTGCTTTCCTTATCTTCGAATAAAATCGATACCGCTTATGCTAAAACAATACAAAATAAGCCCTTTTTTTTAACCGCTAGTTTGGTGTGATTAAATGTCCAATTTTTAAATGTATTACACCAATAGAAAGCTTTGGGTCTTAGCTTCATCACAGTATAAACTTTTAATACATCTTTTAACTCCAAAGTATTAAAATTAACTGTTAAACCTACCATATGTCAGACCATTTTACATGCGATTTATACAGTGAGATACGCAACCCGTTATCTTTACTAGAAATACAACTGATAAGAATAGCCTGTCGTCTGCTAGTTTTGAAAGTGTTTATCGGTGTTTTTTCTCATCTTTTTTTTCTCCTCAGTTCTTATCCGAAAATATGAGTAGTTGATAAGCGGTATGCCTAAAATACGAAAGTGAGATTTTTGACGAAAGTGAGCGAAAGTGAGCGAAAGTGACTTTTAAAATTTGAATTGGACCGTTTTAATAGAATTTTGTAAACAGTGATTTTTCTGTTTGTAGACGTAAATTATTAGCAACTAATAATATTTCTTTTAAAAAATAATCACTATGACGATTTAGTCGCCATTCATTTGCATAATTTCTATACACAAGTTCTAAGATCTTCCTTTTGCTCACTTTGAAAAATACGAAAGTGACTTGTAAAATATTAAATTTAGAGTTTAAATTGAAATTAATACTAAAATTGCAGTTTGTAGACGTATATCATCAGAAATATATAATATTTATTTTCAAAAATAATCATTATGACGAGTTAATCACCATTTGTTTGCATAATTTCTATACACAAGTTCTGAGATCTTCCTTTCGCTCACATTGAAAAATACGAAAGTGACTTGTAAAATATGAAATAAAGCGTTGAATTGAAAGTTAGTTATACTAATATTGCATTTTTCAGGCGTATATTATCAGAAATTAATATTATTTATTCTCAAAAATAATCATTATGATGATTTATACCCTTTTTTTTTTTACATAATTTCTATATTCTAAGTTCAGCAATCTTCCGTTTGCTCACATAGAAAATACGAAAGTGACTTCTAAAATATCAAATATAGTGTTAAATTGAAATATAGTGTTGAATATCAAATTATTAAATTCTGATAATATTAATTTCTTATAATACTCGTCTATAAACTGCAAATTTAGTACATTTTCAATTTAAACTCTATATCCAATACTTTACAAGTCACTTTCGTATTTTTCTATGCAAGCGAAAGGAAGATCGCTGATTTACTTGTATATAGCAATTAGGCAAATAAATGGCGATTAAATCATGATTATGGTTATCTTTTATAATATATATAATTAGTTGCTAATAATATACGTCTGCAAATAGCAATTTTACTGTAAAATTCTATTAAAACGGTACAATTCAAATTCTAAGTCACTTTCGCTCACTTTCGCTCACTTTCGTCAAAAATCTCACTTTCGTATTTTAGGCAAACCCGTTGATAAGCATTGTGTACACCGGTCTTACTGACCTGTGTGAATCCACGCTAAGCATGATGGGAACGCACTAATTTTTACATTGCGGCTTGAACACCGAAGTGATAGAACAAATCGAAAATGGGGCCAGTTGAAAAATTAAACTTTTTCCATACTCTGTTGGCATAATAGCCATTGCATCATTTTTACTCAACATGCACCAAACACTCTTCTGACAATCCTTTATTTGTTTTAAAAACCCAGTTTCGTCCAACACCCGTGATAGTATTTCGTTGGTTGTTAGTTTAAATTAAAACCGAAAGTGAAAGTAGTTTTGAATATTTGAATTGGAACTATCAATATTGCACTTGCAATATTAAACTCTGGAAAACAGTGATCCTTTGTAAGAAATAAACGATTTTAATCACTTGAAAAGATATATTGTGGTTTGTGAAATAAAATTGTCATCCCTACGCGGACTTTTTCTGTCGGAGTCATTTTTACCCTCATTTGGGGTGAGTAATGCGTCGTAAGACACAGGTCGATATTTGAGACCGGTGTGTATACAAATTATGCGTTGATAAGTGGGCGTATCTTATCATGTGATGTTTTTCTATCGGCATCGAAAGTAAGAAATCGTAAAAAAGTTATCTAATATTACAAATACTAGAGGGGATTACCTTTAGATCAACGTTTCTTTCTTTTAAGTAGCAAACATTTACGTTTTTTCGAGTTGACGATTTCTTGTTGTTCTTGTTGTTGTTGTTGCAGCTGCGCTAATACTAATACCGCGCCGTATAGTGCCGTAAAATTTATGCGGATAATTCCTTTTAAGGTCTCGGCCCAGTGAATTTTCGTACTCTTTGTTCTATAGTAAATCAGTCACAGTTGAGGCTTAATTCTGGATTCCACTGTTCTTGTTGAATTATATACAGTCTTCAACTTTAAACATCAACACTATCTAAGTCAAGTGATGCCCGAAATATAATGTGTTAGCCATCTACTTTTTTCGAAATCTTCATAAAAGTTATTTTATTCTATTCTTCTGTTGTAACACTGTTTAAATTCGCCACTTAAAAACTCCTGACTAGTGGTGGGTAGTACATCTTTAATCCTTCTGCCAACATATGAGGTCCTAGAGAATACACATAAAACAACTTTTAAGGTCACCATATTACACAAAAAAACTAAACTGATGCAATAAATACACTTTAATTATGACAAGTCAAGCTAGAGATTACTTAAATTGGACCACTTTAAAATCTAAAAGAACTACTTTCTAGATGCAATGGATCCGGTCTAATTCCGTACCGTGTTGTGACAATAGCTATCGTTACATCATGTATTATCTGTTTTAGGACATCATTGATCAATTTATTTATTTCTTTGCAAAGAAATTTGGAAAACTTTGTTCTTCACTCCACGACAGTTTAATCTGACAATATTTAAATATGTTTACCTGAGGGAAATAATTGAGATAAAGGAAATGAGGGGAAATGGTCTATAAACTTTAAATTTTAATTTAGTGCCAGATATCGTAAAAGCCACAGACAATTATATTTTACCGATTGATTCACTGTATTCAAAATATAAAAATAGAGATGATTTTGGACCTTAATTATAGTCATGACGATTATGATGTCGTATTTCTGAAATACACATTTTACAGTCAGCATTTTAACTTTCTATGGTATAATAACTTTTATTTTCCCTGTTACAAGATGATCAAATTGAAGTGAATTTTCTTCAAAGAATGCACAGACTAGTTCACAGTAATAAGGTTCACTTATTTCTTAAATCGCATATTTTCATGAGACAACATTTCTAGTTTTGTTTAGAACATAATGACATCAAAAAATTGTGATGGCACTTGTAAGATCATATAGAAAACGTATTATATAATAATTATTATACGCCATTTGTGATTAACATGTCCTATAAATATTTAAATAATCACAATATGTAAATTATCCGAAGAGTCCAAATGCACAAGTTTGGTACCCATTTGATTGATTAAATTATATAAGGGCTGTCCCATAAAGTCTTGGAAAATTGCTAGCTGTAAATCAAATATATAACGCCCGAACCTAAAATTATTTTGCACAAGTGTATCTCCATCAATTAGAAGTAAAATAAGAAACAAAAGTTAAAGAAAGTATACATATACGTGAAACATTAAAGCATTAACACAGGCCCCCGCCAAAAATTGTCATTTTACAAGCTTACAAGCTTAACAGTGAACCCCATTGGAAATAAGCTTTTAGCTTAATGGTCAATCCCTTAATAAATCGATACGAACACAATATCTTTTTTAATGACACATTAATTTTGCCTACTCTTGTGACGTTGGCATCAACCGTATGTCAGTCGCTATATGTTAAAATTTCAGGGAAATCGCAAGACATATACAGTGCTTCCTTTGCTTTATACATATAATTATGTTATATTCTTTTTGTATTCCCGAACTAGGAACAGGGTTCGTTTACACTGGTTGGTTTCATAATTTTCACATACTTCCTATTCTCTTTCCTGAAGATCAAACGCATGATTGATCTTAATTAAATTGATTTGATAGAAACTGAAAGTATTACACATTTTTGAACACTGGACTGTTTTCGTATAGACGATTTATTGCACGATGCGCAATAGAAGCAGTATTCTTCTCAACAATCACCTCTTTATTTAACACTACCAATACTTTTTAAAGTTGAAATTTGTTATCATATTAGCCCAATATATGTACTTAATAAAGATCTTTTGAACTCGCATGAACAAAAAAAAAGACTAGATGGCACACAATACAGATTTGAGAATGTTTTTTTTTTTTTTTACTAAAACATGTAATTGATAAGATTGTTTTTTTGTTTTGTTTTGGGTTTTACGTCACATCGTCACAGTATAGGTCATATCGCGACGTTCCAGCTTTACTGGTGGAGGAAGACCTCAGGTGCCCTTCCGTGCATTATTTCAGGCACGAACGGGCACATGAGTAGAACCACCGACGTTCCGTAAGCTAGCTGGATAGCTTCCTCACATGAAAGAATCCAACGTCCCTGTCGGGATTCGACAGCACGGGATTCGGGCAAGTGGTTTGAAGTCAACGACCTTAACCACTCAGCCACGGACGCCCCTGATAAGATTGGATACTAAAAATAATTATTTATATTGGAATATCACACAGTGCAAACAATGGAAGTTCATTTGTCACATTTTACAAGGTATGAAATAGAAACAATTATTTTACCCTAGAGTTATTTATATTCCATAACATCATCATTTGTGGTATCTTTCGGTCCTATCGCGAATGGAAGGACTTTTAAGTTTTGGCTATACGTGCACTCCTACTCCGTAACTTTTTTTCCAGGGACAAAATATATTTCCTGTGAAACGTTGTGTGTCGAAAGTGGAAACTACATGATTGAGATATACACACTACAACAGTTTTCATAATTATTCCCATAAAAAAATAATAGCAGGCGATGTGCATAAATCTGAAATAGATAGAAAACTATATATGTAGGTAATACACTGATTATAATTTTTTTTGAAAAATACATGTTTTCGAGCATTTATAAACATACTCGTATTTCTCAAAAACAACTTCAACCAACGTAAAGAATGAGGTGAAATGTCTGGACACAACAAATTGCACTGAAAACATACATGTAATGCTATTTTACAAATTATTACATCTCACCATTTGGCAATGTTTAGTGCAAGCAGGTACGTATAATAATGTTAATATACGTACCTGGTGCAAGCTATCTCAAAAGATAATGACAATGGAATTTCTCTATATGATACCGATGCTCAACACGTTTTTCATACACTTTTTGCTATATGAATTAAAACCAAACTGTTTGTAGTAAAAAAGTTACAATAAAATAATGAGGGGTGCGAAAAGTGAAACACCTACACCTTACTACTTTGACAGTTCGTCTACACGTTTACAACGTACAGGTTACAATACCGTGATTGCTCTGTTCAGATGTGTTTACATTTTAAGGCGTGTGGAGGTGTGTACTCTTAATGCACGTTGATTGGTTTAAAATGGCAACTACCACTTAGTTCAAGGACAAAAAATTTCCGAAGAAGGCGAACAAATTAGTTTGGATCTGATTTTTTTTGTTATTTCTTCCTTTAACAGAGCAATTTACAGATTTTACAGATTGAAGGTGAGTATAAAACTATTTATACTTGTAAGCTTTTACTGTATCAACGTCTGCGCATATAAGAAAAAAAGTTAAACACGAGAATTGTGATTTGCTCGCACAATGCCAAACGTCAGTTTTAGTTTTGTATAGTATACATGTATTTGTTGTTGTATATACAATTTAAAACGTAAAATTGTTATAGCTATGAAGATGATTTGTAATTTAGAATAATTTTCATTTTTTCAGCATATATATATTTTTTTTTTGACAGTTTTTTTTTTATTTTGTGAAATATCGTCGTATAAATTTAAAGTTACATTGTATATGTATAGTTACTGTTTTCTTACCCTTAATTTTGGACTGTCAAATCATTTGATTTATAAGCACAGTAATTCAATCCAAACGCTACACTGGATTGTTATTTACTTGCATAATACTGCACTAAAGTTGTACAAACTGGCATAGTTATAGGACAATCAGATAAATCTGTTAAAATAATTCTTATTTTTAAAATGTGATTTATTTTCAAACCCTGATAACATAATGAGACGCAAATGACTAATTAAGTTTTTGAAAGACTTAATTGGTTCATAAATACGATCATGTGAATATTTTACTAGTATTGCAAAATTATATCTAGACAAGGATTGTTCTGAAAATAGATTAGCAGAATATGAAATGCACATTAATTAGTAACAGTACCTTAGGCCTTAATTGTTGTCATTTCTTTTATACGCATATAACTCAACACATTTTGTGTTAAATGTGATTATTATGATTTGTATGTTTTCTATCTTGTGTAGATACTTCAGTCATTACTTTTTAAAATTCACTCTTCATTAAATTGTTATGTGCACTGCATATTCTTCACTTAGTACAGTATATATATATGTATATGTTTTGTACATTCTTCAGTTCATGTACATACTCTATAGCATATTACATACATGTACATTATAAGTCTCCTAACTACAAAGCCCAGAGTGGAGATATTTTGCATATAGCATCAATTTGTAGTCTTCAACGAAAATTATTTCCATCATGAACCTAAGGTCAAAGTTTGATTTTGGCTTGTGACTTCCAAAATCTAATACTTTTCCTTCTTCACCTAATATGACCTATATATAATGTGACTTCCAAATCCAATATCAGAAATTTTGCAGTCTCTGACTTCCAAATTTTTAAAACTTAATGGAAGACCTGTATTATGTTATACTCCCTGGTGTCCATCCATCCGTCTGTCTGCATTACCGAATAGGGATTATTGGCCATCTAACTGTAAACAGAACAAAAGAGAACAATAGAGTTCATTCCATAACAATAAAATAAGGGGACATTAGCCCTCTATTAAACAATAGAAAATAGCAAAAATAATGGCCCCTTATCCCATTTCGGCTGGATGTCCATCCCTTAGCAATTTGGTTTCCAGAGCATAACTTAAGGTCCATTTGGCTCACAATATTCAAACTTTATAGGATGATTGTCCATATTGGGTAGAAGACCCCTATTGATATTAGGGTCAAAAGGTCAAAGGTCACTATTACATTAAAACTGAAAACAGTTTCCGGGGCATAACTTAAGTTCCATTTGGCCCACAATATTCACACTTCATAGAATGATTTTGCATATTGAGTAGAAGACCCATATTGATTTTGGGGTAACAAAGTCAAAGGTCAAGGTCACTATTACCTTAAAACTGATAACAGTTTCTGGAGCATAACTTAAGTTCCATTTGGTCAAAAATATTCAAACTTCATAGGATTATTGTCCATATTGTGTAGAAAACCTCTAATAATTTTGGGGTCACAAGATCAAAGGTCAAGGTCAGTATTACCTTAAAACTGAAAACACTTTCTGCTCAATCAGGGTCACAATGATCTTTACACTGAAAATTGTGGTCTCTAGAGCAAAACTTAAGTTCCATTTGGCCCATAGCGTTCAAACTTCAAAGGATGATTGTCAATATTAGGTAGAAGACCCCCTATTGTTTTGGTGTCAACAAGGTCAAATGTCAAGGTCACTATTACCTAAAAAAAAACAGTTTCTGCTCAATAACTTAGTATTAATCAACCTACAGCTGTAAAATTTTATAGGATACACAGCCATGTCCAATACATGACCCCTATTGATTTTAGGGTCATAAGGTTAAAGGTCAGGTCACAATGATCTTTACACAGAAAATTGTGGTTTCTGGAGCACTACTAAAACTTGTGCTTTCTAGAGTATAACACAAGTTCCATTTGGCTTACAGTGTCCAAACTTCATAGGATGATTGCCTATATTGAATAAAAGATCCATATCCATATTGGGATGACAAGGTCAATATCAAATAACTGTAACATTGTTAACAATTTTACAACTGTCAAACTTCATAGGATGATCACTTATATTGAGTACATTAATCATATGCCCTAAAAAATTTGCTTATATATTGTTACACCCCTGGTGTCTTTCCGTCCATCTGTCGTAGCATTTTTACTTACAAGATAACAACTTGAAAAGATTTTATAGTTTATAATTTTAAATGCTTAATTTGTTGGTATTCATTAGTAAGGGTTAACAAAAGTAAAAAAGGTTGAGCTGAATTTTAATTTTGTAAATGCTTACTAATGAACACTAACCTATAAATTAAGTTAGAATATATAAGTAGCCAGTGATGGAGAGTCTGGTTATAGTTAGTTGAATGTTGGGACATGAAGCTGATATTGTATCAACTTCATTATAAAATAGGCACGTTTACCTTACAGTTAAATCAGTTTATACATTTTTCTTTAAATTGATTAGCACTTTTTCCAAATTCATAGAAAATAAAGTAAAATTTGTGAAAAATTGTGACAGGTAGCCTATAGAGGCTTTATAAGGAGAGGGGCGTTTAATAGGATTTTTAAGGTATACATGTATATTGATTAATGGTATAATAAACTATTATTGATATAAATTAACAATATAATCCTTAATTAGTTGACTTTTAAGTGTGCAGAAATTTAATTTGACCTTCCAGTATAAGTAAATTACAGTGGAATCAAGAAGTAGGCTTATCCCAGGTTTATTTTCTATAAATCATTTTGTTTATGTTTTGCATTTAACAATCATGACTAATATGCCCTTAACCTGCTGACCTATAATGAAATGGATTAACCCAGCTTTGAATTTGGAATAATTCATTAAAAATTTTAGGGGTCACAGTATAAAAATACAAAAATTGAGCTGCCATGGGAAAGGCTTGTTACTTTATGTTCAGCAGGCTAAAGTGGTAATGATAAGTAAAGATTTAAAGTTATTGTTTGATATTTTTTTACTCTAAAAGCTTCTTTTTTTAGTGTTTGAAAACTTATTTTGAGATGAAATTTTGACAGAATAAGAGTTACATTGTAATAAGGAAAATTATATAAATTTGTACAGTTTCAAATAAAGCAAAAACACATTACTTTCATCTTCGGAATTTTTTTTGTTGTGCATAAGATTTTTGGATTAAGTGCTAAATTAAGTGTTTGATTTTCATGTATTGTGGATATATTATAAATCTAAAATAACTTATTATTTCGAGTAAATCGTGACTTTGGAGAACTGTTTTCTGATTGGTTGTTTATTGTAAGATTATTGTTGCGCAAAATTTGGGCTACTTGTCATTCAAGCCTTTACTTTACATGAAAGAATGATTAAAATTTATTTTCTAATTTATTTGCATACACATGCCTTTTCCCGGTGTCACCAAGGGTCAGATTATCAGACCCATTCCTTATGGCAATTCTAAATTATTAAAAAAAAATCCATATTGAGCTGAAATTCCCGATATCTAACCAAACTGTTTGCTGACGTTCAATCTGGTATTTTACAAACAGATGTTTCCTTAATTTTATCTTCTATATTATTTTATTGTATTTGTAACACCTTGGTACATATTTGTGTTGGTTACAATAAGCAGTGTCGCACAATTAAAACATAAAGCCAAAAGAGCCTGAAAGTAGGTCTAAAAAGGTCCTAATGGCAATAATGGTATTAATTTCCTAATTAAGCAATTTTGGATGCAAAATTTACCAGATTTGGCAAGGTCCCTTTATCCCAAAATGGCAAGGAAAAGGTCAGATTCACATTCAACTTTCTTTAATTTTTTCAGATATCATTAAAGTTTGATCAGTGAGTTACAATGTGGAGGCAGAAATCTCATCTGCTGTGGCGTCATGTCAACAGTCCAGCTGGTATCTATGGCAACCAGTGTGTCAGATGCATGTCAGATTCTGACAGGCCAACATTAGCTATACGAAGAGAGACTGTTAATGTTTGGGAGAGAAGAGCACCTTTGGCACCAAGACATGTGGAGAAGTTAGTGAAGAAAGGAGTGAGAGTTATAGTTCAGCCATCTAACAGACGGGCATATAACATGCAGGTTAGTCAGTTAGTGTGTAGTAAGCAGATAGGAGGTTACTGTTAACTTATTATCATATGTAATGTATACATTGGCTCAAGTTTTCAGGTATTTGTCTGAAGTTCCGGTTTTTTAATGCTCCTCAAAACACTCTTCTTTAATGAAAAAAAAACAATTGAAAATTTTTTGAATTTATGGCTTTTACATTTTCTAACATTTTGCACTTGCACCCATGTGTATATTACTATAAAAGGACTTTAAAAAATAGATTAAAAATTGTTGCCATTTACCATTGCTTTTCATTTTCACAGTACATTAATTTGACAACAACAAAACAAATTTCAAAATATCATAGGAGTAAAATCATGCATAAAAAGAATAAAAAGACAGATTTTTGATGCTATTTAATATATGTATTGCAAACATAACCTGAACAATCTTTGATTCCACTCATGTATTAAAACACATAGAAATAATCAATGTACTGGGTATTATGAAATCTTGTTATAATAAGCACATGGTTTATGTGATATAGACTTCATTGTTTATAGATGAATATTAAGTTGTTTATTGCTTTTGATAATGTTTTTATAAGCTTGACTGTTAGAAAAATAGGGAGAGCTATTGTACTCATCCAGGCATCAGAGTTGGCATTACACTTTGGTTAATTTTTTTCGTGCATGTTGGTATCTCCAAACTGACTGAACATGCTGAAGGGAATCAGTTGAAATTTGACCGCATTATAAGCCCCTCGTGAACGTAGAAAATTCTTCATTATCCAGGATCTTGTTTTACTATCAAGTACTGAGAATAGTTAAACAAGTTGTCTTACTGACAGCTGTTGGTATTAAATGAATCATTACATAATTATGATTAATGATAAGTATTATGCAGACACATGTGACAATATAATCCAACTTTGTAAAAATTTCAGTTTCATATATTAATAAGTGAGTCATTTTTGTTTTATTATCAGGAATATATTGAGAAAGGTGCTGTAATCCAGGAGGATCTCAGTGAAGCATCTGTTGTAATTGGTGTTAAACAAGTGCCCATAGATCTTCTAATGCCAGATAAAACCTTCTGCTTCTTTTCTCACACAATCAAAGCACAGAAAGACAACATGCCTCTACTTGATGCTATACTTGAAAAGGTTTTTTTTCTTAAATAATTTCATGCAATGCATTTAAGTTTTAACATATTTAGTTTAGTTCAGTTGTGATGTATGCTTGAAGCTGATTGAACTAGAACTAACCAATAATGGCGTTATATGATTTGTTTGATTGGGTTTTACATCACACCGACACAGTATAGGTCATATGGTGACTTTCCAGCTTGACTGGTGGATGAAGACTTCAGGTGCCCTTCGGTACATTATTTCAGGCAGGAACGGGCACCTGAGTAGAACCACCGACATTCCATAAACTAGCTGGATAGCTTCCTCACATGAAAGAATCCAAAGTCCCTGTAGGGATTCGAACCCACAGTGGTGAGGGGCAAGTGGTTTGAAGTCAATGATCTTAACCACTCGGCTACGGGAGCCCCCACAGACACTTTATATGACTATAATGAGTAATCATGGTCATGACTTAGTAGGAATCAAACCCCTTGTACCTTTGATTGAGAGGCAGGCACATTAACCACAACACTACCTCCGTCCCTTCACACAGCACTTTAGATTCCTGTCAGATATTTAGAGTGGTTTAAAACACCACAATGAATAATAAAATAATGGATAAATCCTTATAGATATGTTCAAGTAAAATATCTCAACAGTTTCAGTTTATATTATATTTATAGCCAATCATATATGAGATAGTATCATAATGTTATTGACAACTGCAGTATTTATTGTAGAATGTAAGACTGATAGATTACGAGAAGATGGTGGACGACGGGGGTCAGCGTGTTGTAGCTTTCGGTAAATATGCCGGTGTGGTGGGAATGATAAACATTCTACATGGTATGGGTCTACGTCTGCTAGCTCTTGGACATCATACACCATTCATGGTAAATAGTATACATCATATTTGTTATAATGAGAAAGTGTATGCACATGTACTCATGTACAACAGTAATTTCCATGATTGTTTGTATAATTATATTAGTATTACAGATTTAATTTAAGGTATATTTGCATAATTACTTTACTGTATGTAATAAGGAATTTCCAACTTGCCAATAGCATTATTACTTCATGTGTTTAACCCTTGATCTGCTGGACCTTAAAGTCATTAACCTTTGCCCTCAGCATAGAGCCAGGTCAGGTTGCATTTCTGTGCAGCCGACCAGGTTCGATACTGTTTGCTGACTCACTTTTAAGTCTCTTCTTGATATTTCCAAATTTGATGATGTTCTATAAATGGAAATTCAGTAGGCTAAAGGTTAAGGTAAAATAAAAGTAAACGAAAAGTATCAAACTTCTCACATGTTTTCATCGACATCCTTATGCTGCTGTGAATTAGGATTTTAGGATTTGTTTATAGAAGGCAAATAATGTCATAATCAAAACATATACATAACAGTACCATATTATATCTCTACAGAATGGCAAAAACTGTAAAGGTATGTGATGAATGTATTTATGTTATATGTTTGATATTTGTCTAGCATATTGGACCCAGTCACAACTATCGTAACAGTGAGGCTGCTCGACAAGCTGTGAGGGACGCAGGGTACGAGATAGCCCTCGGTAGAATGCCTAGATCTATTGGACCTTTAACATTTATATTCACAGGGTCTGGAAATGTCTCCAACGTAAGCCAAGTTTAGAATCTACATGAAATCAATAAAAATATGAATCTCAGTTTTACCTATATACCTTTTTCTGCCAGATTTAATGTATAGAGAGCAGGAATTGCTTTCCTAAATTATGATACCAATACATATCGTTGTTTATTTGATTTCCTTTGAGATATATCCACATATATCTGATTATATTAGGTTGTAAATAACTTATTAATATTTAAGGATATACAAGGTGATACTGCTTGTCAGATTATGAAGGTGCCTTTATAAGCCCCCTAATGCAAAGTGAATAAATGCAAAGTGACACATGTATGGCAGTTAATTGAAATTTAAAAGTGTCATGTGACAAAGATATGAAAATTACTTACACTTTGATATAAGAAGTGTAATATCTAAGCATCATATATGTAAATATATATTTAGACTTGTATATTTTGTAGGGAGCCCAGGAAGTATTTCAAGAGTTACCACATGAATATATAGAACCTGATCACCTACCAACTGTTGCTAAAAAAGGATGTAAGCATAATTTACCATGGTAGATTTAGAGCCTTGTAAGCACCTTTAACAGTTACACTTGTGTGCCAGATATTCCCATCTGTTCCGGAAACTGATGTTAAATTCTTACAAACATCTGGCTTGAATGCAAAAGATTCATTTAACGATAAGATATTTGAGTCGCGTCATGACAAAACCAACATAGTGCGTTTGCCACCAGCATGGATCCAGACCAGCCTGCTTATCTGCGCAGTCATATCAGGATCCATGCTGTTCGCTATCAGGTTCTCTACTTGTAATAGGGTTGATAAACGAACAGCATGGATCCTGATCAGACTGTGCTGATGCAAATGCATTATGTTGGTCTTGTTTTGACGCAGCTCATTTATAAAATCAGTCAATACAGGTATTTAGCAGAGTAAAGCTTTCTGTGGTTCCATCATTTATTGTATACAAAAGTATTTCATTATTCTTAGAATCTAACTGAAACTTACTTTTGAGACCAAATAAAATTTTACACCTAACTTTTTCAATGTTACACAATTATATCATAGATGAAACTTAATATTGTGGAAATCATAGCCAATCTGTCAAAAGTAATTTACTTAAAAAAATGCAAAAAGAATGTGTTGTGTTTTGATTATTTTCACTGTGTCTTTTGACAGTGCTCTCTTTTACACAATATTTGTTGTGTACAAGGTTACTTGTTTTGATGAGGTTATTATATTTCTTGTCACAGTTATATAGATTGATAGAGAACAAAATGATAAAGAGATACCTTCAAATGAACCTCCTGCATTACAAGTGCCCATAATGTCCAGCCTTAGAGATGTATAACACACATGTACAAAATTTTCATTTATTTCAGCAATGAGGAAAGTGTATGGTTGTGTGGTCAGTCGTGATGACCACTATGTCAGGTTAGAAGGTGGTAAATTTAATGCTGCAGAGTTTGAGGAGCATCCAGAAAGATATGCATCAACTTTCAGTCACAAGGTGGGTATTGTTAAACTTAAAACTTGCAGGTGCAGAGATAGATTAAGGGACCTCTGTGGCTGAGTGGTTAAGGTCGCTGACTTCAAATCACTTGCCCACTGTGGGTTCAAATCCTGTTAGATATTATGGAATCTTTCATGTGAGGAAGTTATCAAGCTAGCTTACAGAACATCAGTGGTTCTACGTAAGACACTCCTCAAGTCTGTTATAAGGAGAACATGAGATCTCCCTCTACCAGTAAAGCTGGATAGTTGACATATGACCTTTTCATTGTTGATGTGACTTAAAACTTAACAAAATGAAAGGCTGGATATACATATATTAATTCTTCCTTCAAGACAATAAATTTTGTTCTTCATATTAACAAATTTGCTGAATTCTCAAGTCATTATTTGTTTTTTATTCCATATATAGGTTGCACCTTACTCCTCGTGTATTATAAATGGTATATACTGGGCCCCAAATTCACCTAGACTACTGACCATTCCTGATGCTAAAACACTTCTGAGAGCTGCTGAATTTCCATGGATTCCATCGAGTGAGGGTTGTCCGCAATTACCACATCGATTGATTGCATTATGTGATATCTCGGCGGACCCAGGGGGCTCGATAGAGTTCATGAAAGAATGTACAACTATTGATAAACCCTTCTGTCTGTATGATGCTGAATTGAACGTGGAAAGAGAAAGGTAATGTTAATTGGTGTTTGAAAAAAATAAAAAAGAGATTAAGTACGGTAAAAGTTAGCTAATATGAAATAATTGTGATGTCAATCAGAAAATAACCACAACTAACAATATGTGTTATTGCATGTATTAAACATTCTGGTAAAAATTGTTTTCATGCCCTCTTTTTTGCCCTTATTTAATGTTTATTTGAGCATCTGTTCCTGTAAAACATTGATTACTAAAGTAAATAACAGAAATATAGTTATCTTCATTTATTTGTTTCAAATGTTGGACATAACGCAGAGTAAGTGCCCTTGACATAGAATTGAGTGATGTTATACCACCAGCATTCTTGTCCATATTATCTCATAATAAGGTGGCATGGATACAGTGATGGTTGTTAGATTTGTTAGCATGAAATATTTTGAACAGTTAAGATTAATTAAATTTGCTGTGAATGCAACATATTTATGCAATTTCTTTTATTCAAGTAGATTGTACACTTATTTGAAAAAAAAAAATCGCAAAAAACTGTGAACAATTTTTATTGTTGTGACTTGCAAATTGAAAAAAAAAAAAATACAGTAACAAATTGACTTATTTGACTTGAAATTTATGGCAGTATTTTCCAGAATTGATCACAACATGTTTACATAGGAATGTAAAGGGGAAGACAAAACTGTTGTGTACATATTAATTAAAATATCCTTTCTTCATATGGAAATTTTGATGATATGATTAATCAGTGCCATTAAAAACTTGTATAAAACCTTGATAAATTTGTCTTTCACATTTTAATAAAAGGAATTACTGTCTGTCTGGTCCTGCACAAATGAGCAAGTTAAAGTACTCTCACATAATTAAAACAGTAAAAAATTCCCGATGTTAATTAACTGGTTTGAAACACACTGCCTGATTAGGCTTAACAACCTTGTAACTTACAATAAAAAAACATATCTTTAACATACATGTACTCAGATGAAAATTATCATAAAAATTATAATATACTTGGGAGTATAAAAACAACATCTTCGTGTGATTATTTGTCATTTATGTAGCAGTTTTATTTACAGAACATTTCAGAACTGCTTTATTTAAGGTAATTAATTGCTTTGTTTAAGGTATTCCAACCTAATAAATGGATATGTATTTAGCTTTCTGCTTCAGCTCTAGGTATAATGGTTATATCCTTCCCCCAACACCTCTTAATAAACAGATGTTCATGTGATTAATTCAATTTTCTGCATAAAATTTATCTTTTATTGCTATGCAAAATAATTTATTGTATTTCTTACTTATTGTACAGCAGGTAAGTTTGAATATTTAAACAAGCACAATTGATAGTATTTATTAATATATCTGTTTTTCACTGATATTTATTCTGTATACATAATGCAGATTTTGTATTGTTCAGTGAACATTTATGTATGTTCTGCCTAGTTAGATACACCTATAGCTTTGGCTAGTAGGTAGTTTGTCTGCTTTATATCAAAATGGTGGTAGGATTTGATCCCCAGTCTGAAAATGGACCTTTATAAAAAGGTTTTATATGCATCAAATACCAAACCTTCTCATTACTTTAACAGCAATGCCTGCTTTTACATGTACATGTATATCCTTCACAATGCCTGCTTTATGTCCTTCACAATGCCTTTGTTAATGTCCAATACAATGCCTGCTTTTATGTCCAATACAATGCCTGTATCTGTGTCCAATACAATGCCATCTGAAATGTCAGATAGATTGCCTGCTAATATATCAAATACAATGCCTACTAATATATCAAATACAATGTCTGCTGATATATCAAATACAATGCCTACTGATATATCAGATACATTGCCTGCTGATATATCAAATACAATGCCTACTGATATATCAGATACATTGCCTGCTGATATATCAGATATAATGACTGCTGAAATATCAGATTTGATGACTGCTGATATATCAGATACAAAGCCTGCTGATATATCAGATACAATGCCTACTAATATATCATATACAATGCCTGCTGATATCTTAGATACAATGCTTGCTTATATGTCCAATATAGTACCTGCTGTCTGCTTAAGTGTTTGATAAAGTCCCTGCTGAAATTTCAATATCCAGTACCTGCTGATATATCAGAAACATTGCCTGCTGGCTGCTGAAGTCTTAGATACAATGCCTGCTGATATGTCAGATACAATTCCTGCTAATATATCAGACACAATGCATGTTAATATATCAGATATATTACTCTGCTGATTAATCAGATAAATATCCACTTATTTTTCAGATAAATGCCTGAGACATATCAGATACAATGCATGCTGATATATCAGATACGATGCCTGTTGATATATCAGAAAAATGCCTTACAGTGCTTACTGATATATCAGATACAGCTGCTGCTGATATATCAGATACAATGCCTGCTGATATATCAGATACAATACCTACTGATATATCAGATACAATATCTACTGATATATCTGATACAATACCTGCCAATATATCAGATACAATACCTACTGATATATCAGATACAATACCTACTGATATATCAGATACAATACCTGCCAATATATCAGATACAATACCTACTGATATATCAGATACAATACCTACTGATATGTCAGATACAATGCCTGCTGATATATCAGATACAATACCTACTGATATATCAGATACAATACCTACTGATATATCAGATACAATACCTGCCAATATATCAGATACAATGCCTGCTGATATGTTGGATACAGTGCCTGCTGATATATCAGATCCAATGCCTACTGATATGTCAGATACAATGCTTCTGATAAATCAAATACAATGCTTGCTAATATATCTGATACAATACCTACTGATATATCAGATACAATGCGTACTGATATGTCAGATACAAGGGCAGACGCAATGCCTACTGATATATCAGATACAATGCCTACTGATATATCACATACAATGCCTACTGATATATCAGATACAATGCCTGCTAATATTTCAGACACCGTGCCTACTGATATATCAGATACAATGCTTACTCATATATGAGATACAATGCCTGCTGTCTGCTGAAATGTCAAATTCAATGCCTACTTAATATATCAAAAGCAATGTCTGCTTTTATGTTGAAATTAATGCCTGTATATATGATATTTGCAAAACTAAACCAGTGCTTGCAGACTTTGTCAAAAGCAATCCTAGTTTTACAGTCAATGCTGATTTTATAATGTATATTTATTGTGTCTAACATTCGTAGGTAGAAAATCATCATGCACTCTTTCATAATCAGCAAGTAACATATTTGACTGTATTTTTAGCTCATCTGTCACAAAGTGACAGGGTGAGCTTTTGTGATCACTTTTGGTCCGGCGTCCGTCCGTCGTCCATCCGGCGTCCGTCCGTCCGTCCGTAAACTTTTACTTTAAATGACATCTCCTCATAAACCACTAAACCAATTTCATCCAAACTTCACAGGAATGTTCCTTTGGTGGTCACCTTTAAAAATTGTTCAAAGAATTTAATTCCATGCAGAACTCTGGTTGCCATGGCAACCGAAAGAAAAAACTTTAAATATCTTCTTTTAAAAAACCCAAAGAGCTAGAGCTTAGATATTTGGCATGAAACATCTTCTAGTGGCTGTCTACCAAGATTGTTCAAATAAAAGCCCTGGGGTCAAAATTGGCCCCGCCCCAGGGGTCATTGATTTTCCCTATATGCATATAGTAAAAACTTAAAAAATCTTCTTTTAAAGAACCCAAAGAGCTAGAGCTAAGATATTTAGCATGAAACATCTTCTAATGAGTGTCTACCAAGTTTGTTCAAATAAAAGCCCTGGGGTCAAAATTGGCCCCGCCCCAGGGGGTCATTGATTTTCCCTATATGCATATAGTAAAAACTTAAAAAAATCTTCTTTTAAAGAACTCAAAGAGCTAGAGCTTAGATATTTGGCACGAAACATCTTCTAGTGAGTGTCTACCAAGATTGTTCAAATAAAAGCCCTGGGGTCAAAATTGGCCCCGCCCCAGGGTGTCATTGATTTTCTCTATATGCATATAGTAAAAACTTAAGAAATCTTCTTTTAAAGAACCCAAAGAGCTAGAGCTAAGATGTTTAGCATGAAACATCTTCTAATGAGTGTCTACCAAGTTTGTTAAAATAAAAGCCCTGGGGTCAAAATTGGCCCCACCCCAGAGGGTCATTGATTTTCCCTATATGCATATAGTAAAAATTTAAAAATCTTCTTTTAAAGAACTCATGAAGCTAGAGCTAACATATTTAGCATGAAACATGTTCTAATGGATGTCTACCAAGTTTGTTCAAATAAAAGCCCTGGGGTCAAAATTGGTCCCGCCCCAGGGGTCATTGATTTTCCTTATATGTGTATATCAAAAACTTAAAAAATCATTTGTGAAAAAACCCAAATAGCTAGGGTTTAGATAATAAGCATGAAACATTTTCTAGTGTGTGTCTACAAAGTTTGTTCAAATTAAAGCCCTGGGGTCAAAATTGGACCCGCCCTGGGTGTCATTGATTTTTCCTTATATGTGTATAGCAAAAACTTAAAATCCTCTTTGATAAAACCCAAATAGCTAGAGTTTAGATATTGAGCATGAAACATTTTCTAGTAAGTGTCTACAAATTTTGTTCAAATAAAAGCCCTGGGGTCATAACTGGCCCGCCCCAGGGGTGTCATTGTTTTTAACTATATGTGTATAGTAAAAACTTAAAAAAAAATTCTTTTAAAAAACCCAATGAGCTAGAGCTTAGATGTTTAGCATGAAACATCTTCTTATGGGTGTCTACCAAGTTTGTTCAAATAAAAGCCCTGGGGTTTAAACTGGCCTATATACAGGTGAGCGACCTCAGGGCCATCATGGCCCTCTTGTTAAATTGATTTGACACTTGAACAATACTTTTGCAATATTTTTGTTTTGGAATTTTATTGATCATATTGATTATATTTTGTTTAGTTTTCATGAATAATTTTGTATGTTATTTTTCAGAACATGCATGAAATTTTTTCTTGATAGTGAAAAATCTGTGGGAAGATTTTTTCTCCTCAATATTTTAAAGATTTGTTTTTTTTGTTTTTGTTCATAATATCTTTGTACATTTTTCGCAATATTGATTGTCATGAAATATTATGGCACATCTGGAGGCATGTGTATATAACAATCAATATTAAAAAAACAATTTTGAAAACGTACATTAGGATTTCTATCAGAAATTTATGACATTGACTTTGTTTCATACATCTGGTTGCCATGAAAATGCGAAAAAATAAACTGTATATCTTTTAACAAAGGTACAAAGGTAAACACAGACTGTCACTTTCTTTGTGTTAAAGGTTTGTAGGACTGGTTGGTTGATCTTTTCATAATTTTAATATTTCCAAACTTACAGACATAATGAATGTATCACAGGTGTTTATATATGTTAATAAAGTATTCTTTTTTTTTTACATTTTTTGACAAACTTAGTTAAGTAAATCAATTAATGAACAGTTAAAAAAAACAAAACAAGAAAAACCCCATAAAATATGTGAGTTTATGTTACTAGTAGTATAAAGTGTATTGTTTGTATGTTATGTTTGTATGTGTTCCAAAATAAAAGCATTTTATCAGAATATCATTGATGCATCATTTGACATTCTTGTTATGTTGTATAATGTAAAAGTGCTTGTAATTAAACCATTATAAACCAACTTCTACCAATTGGTTATAGTGTTACTCAGGTTATAATGAGGACATTGAAACATTCATTTGTTTGTTTTCAGCTTTAAAGGAGATGGTGTGTTGATTTGTTCTATAGACAATATGCCAGCCCAGATGCCTAGAGAGGCCACAGAATATTTCGGGAGTCTGTTGCTGCCATACATCCCAGAGATTGTGAGTATCTTTAATTTGCTGATGTATTGTTTGTATAAGTTCAGCAATGTGTTTATGAAAGTTGTTATGAAGGCTTTCCATAGCAACCATGGGTTTCCATCATTACCATTGACTTTCTTTAATATCGACCATAGACTTCCATAGCTACCAGTGCCTTACCATAGCAACCAATGACTCACATAGTAACCATTGACTTTCCATATAAAACATTGATTTCCATAGCAACCACAAGATTTCCATAGTAACCATAAACTTCCATAGCAACTAGTGACTTTCTGTTAGAATTACTAGTATTGATTTCCATAAGAACCATTGACTTTCCATAGCATCTGCTTGCTTTCCATAACACCCATTGACTTCCATAGCAGCCATTGACTTTTCATATTAAACTGTAAATTTCCATAGCAACCATTGACTTTTCATATTAAATTGTAAATTTCCATAGCAACCAGTGTTTTTTTACATAGCAACCAGTGACTTCCATAGCAAACTTTTACTTTTCTTAACAATAAGTGAATCTACCATTGAATTTCACAGCAGTTAGTGACTTCCAAAGAATTCACTGATTTTTATAGCAACCAGTGACTTCTATAGTAACTATTGTTTTCCCTTAGCAAAAGCAGTCAGTAATGTTTTTACAAATGCATGATTTCAGATACAGATATGAATTTTATGATATTGGTTTAAGATTTGAGAACCAATTAATATTGGTACCCATATTTTCATATACACACAAGTAAATATTTACCACATGTTAGAGATGCAGTATCAGTATACTTTGAAATATTTGTAAAACTTCTTTGTTTTAATAATACATTTTGCAGAGTTTGAGAATATATGCATAGTATTCATATTATGTTTCTTATTTTTTTTTATTGTTGACATATTATCTGAACCAAAGATGCTATTCAGCATGTTTTTCATCAATGTCATTAAAATATTTACAGCTAAAGTCAGATGCTAAAGGATCCTTTGAAGACTATTCTGCCAATCCGACTGTCAAAAATGTATGTATACATAAATTGTATTTTCATTCTTAAAATAATGTTTTTAATAGTGTCTATAGCCTCTATTTCTGAGCTTTTTTTTGGAAAGCAGTTTAAGCTGATATCCTTTGTCTGTCTGTCTGCCTGTCTGTCTGGATTTTATGCTGATTTCAACACATTTAGGTCATATCTTTGTGGTTGATTGGTTGTATTTCTATTAAAGGCTGTCATTGCATCAAATGGAAAGTTGACACCCAGTTTTGAGTATATTGATGATTTGAGGAAAAGGAGCATGTGAGTAACCTTTAATATGAGCCGTGTCACGACAAAACCAACATAATGGGTTTGTGACCAGCATGGATCTAGACCAGCCTGCGCATCCTCACAGTCTGATCAGGATCCATACTGTTTGCTATCGGTTTCTCTACTTGTTGTAGTGTTTGTAAGCAAACAGCATGGATCCTGATCAGACTGTGCGGATGCGCAGGCTAGTCTGGATCCATGCTGGTCGCAAACCCATTATGTTGGTTTTGTCATGATGCGGCTCAATAATAACAATGACAAGTTATTACTCAGCATTAAGTAAGACTTCTGAAGAGTAATTGGGAAGAAAGTAAAATGAAATAGGAATGTAAAATTTGAAACTTAATGTCTAAAAGTGGTGAAATCTGTAGTCAGAAAATGATACTCTGAGAAAGAGGATGCTCAAAAAACAAGAGATATTAAAATAACACAAAAAAAGTTCTTGTAGCAGGAAATATGTCCCTGTCTTCTCCAGGGTCTTTCAATTCAGTATAAGATAAAAAATGGCATTAAGATATAAACATCTTTATTTGTTCCACAGTATCAAGCTTGATTTTTTATGCATGCCTATTTGCCTTAGTATATTTATTTTGTTTTAAACGAGAAAAGGAAGAATTGATAATGATTAGACCCATAACAATTCACTCAAGATTTTGCCTCTTATTTGGTATAAAGAGGATGTGTTGCACACATCTCACCTATGTATACATTGTTCTCCTTGATCTAAAGCTTATAGGTTCAGGTTTAAATTAAGAAGAGCGGGCTGGACATTCTGCCCGTGGGCATGTCTTGTAAGTATAGTTGTTACACATTGAAATACTTCATCTACATCTTTGTATGCATATGGAAATATTCAAATCAAAATGAAATGAAAATTTCAGAATGAACATATCTAGCATGACAAAAGAACATACCAGACAGATTCATTTTAAAATGTATGAAAACTACAAATAAACATATATAAAGCATTAGCAATGGTTTAAACAGAAACTTGGATATTTATACATTATTTTATATAGGTCATCTAAGTTAATGGAAGTTGTACCAGGACAGAAGAAAGTGTTGGTACTTGGAGCAGGATATGTTGCTGGACCTGCTGTAGAGTACCTGAGTAGGGACAGTAATATCCAGGTGACTGTTGGTAGGTATAAATCATATAAGTTTAAGAAGGGACAGTGATATCCTTGTTGGTAGGTATAAATCATATAAAGTTTGAGTAGGGACAGTGATATCCTTGTTGGTACGTATAAATCATATAAAGTTTGAGTAAGGACAGTGATATCCTTGTTGGTAGGTATAAATCATATAAAGTTTTAGTAGGGACAGTGATATCCTTGTTGGTAGGTATAAATCATATAAAGTTTTAGTAGGGACAGTGATATCCTTGTTGGTAGGTATAAATCATACAAAGTTTGAGTAAGGACAGTGATATCCTTGTTGGTAGGTTAAATCATACAAAGTTTGAGTAGGGACAGTGATATCCTTGTTGGTAGGTATAAATCATATAAAGTTTTAGTAGGGACAGTGATATCCTTGTTGGTACGTATAAATCATATAAAGTTTGAGTAGGGACAGTGATATCCTTGTTGGTACGTATAAAATCATATAAAGTTTGAGTAGGGACAAGTGATATCCTTGTTGGGTACGTATAAATAATATAAAGTTTGAGTAGGGACAGTGATATCCTTGTTGGTACGTATAAATCATATAAAGTTTTAGTAGGGACAGTGATATCCTTGTTGGTACATATAAATCATATAAAGTTTTAGTAGGGACAGTGATATCCTTGTTGGTACGTATAAATCATATAAAGTTTTAGTAGGGACAGTGATATCCTTGTTGGTAGGTATATCAATATATATAAGTTTGAGTAGGGACAGTGATATCCTTGTTGGTAGGTATAAATCAGATAAAGTTTGAGTAAGGACAGTGATATCCTTGTTGGTAGGTTTAAATCATATAAAGTTTTAGTAGGGACAGTGATATCCTTGTTGGTAGGTATAAATCATATAAAGTTTTAGTAGGGACAGTGATATCCTTGTTGGTAATGTATAAATCATATAAAGTTTTAGTAGGGACAGTGATATCCTTGTTGGTAGGTATAAATCATATAAAGTTTTAGTAGGGACAGTGATATCCTTGTTGGTAGGTATAAATCATATAAAGTTTTAGTAGGGACAGTGATATCCTTGTTGGTAGGTATAAATCATATAAAGTTTTAGTAGGAATAGTGATATCCTTGTTGGTAGGTATAAATCATATAAAGTTTTAGTAGGGACAGTGATATCCTTGTTGGTAGGTATAAATCATATAAAGTTTGAGTAGGGACAGTGATATCCTTGTTGGTAGGTTTAAATCATATAAAGTTTGAGTAGGGACAGTTATATCCTTGTTGGTAGGTTTAAATCATACAAAGTTTGATTAGGGACAGTTATATCCTTGTTGGTAGGTTTAAATCATACAAAGTTTGAGTAGGAACAGTTATATCCAAGTGCCTGTTGGGAGATATAAAACATTAGTATTATGTGAGTGCTGGTAGTGATGTTACAGGACTTTGATACCTTAGCATATCGAGGGCTCAGCGCAAGACTATTCTAACTCAATATTTTTCAGAAAATGGTTTTTTGACATTTTCTTGTATAAATTCCTTCAATGCATGTTCTGTTAAAAAGACATAATTAATTTCCCACTAATTTTTAAGTTTTACACATTTTAAGAAAATATTCTATCTGGTGATATAATATATTCAGTGCAAAACTATTCTAACTCAAGTTAGAATAGTTTGACAATCACTTTTAAGTTAAAAGCTTGATATTCTTTTGTGCAAGACTATGCTAACTTCAAGTTAGAATAGTCTAGCGAAATAAAAGATGCTGTTAACAGGAGTTTTTGCTATTTAAACTATTCTAACTGAAAATTAAACAAAGTTTGATGATGTCATCACAAGCTTTGATGATGTCATAAATTACAAGAATATTTATGACACTTTTTCTTTGATCATATTTTACAGAATTTTTACAGTTTTAAAACATATTCTGATGTGTTTTTGCCTGTCTTTCATTGTTTTCAAGATGAAGACAATTTGATTCCTCATTTTAATACTTTATACCAAGTGTAATCAATTTCAAACACTTGTAATTAATTTATTTTACTGACTGCATGGCATTTCAAATTCTCTGTACAAAGAATAAAAAAAAATCAGAACTTAGTATTATACAATTTTAGAAGAAATTTTCCCTTTTTAGTCTTTGTTTATAGTAATGATGAATGTAAGTTGCTTACATTTAAAGATTTATGGTTTATCGCCAATCAAGTTCACTGGATGGAGAAAGTGATAAGTGCTCCTGAGTACTGGCTTTCAGTAAATTTCAATAAAACAACAGAAGAATAAAACAAGCTTTATGTCAATACAATTATGCAAAAATCATCTCTGAATTAAATCCAATTCAAAAATAAAGAAAAAAATATTTATTTGAATGAAGTGTTGCCAGTATGAACAAATAAGGAAGCTTTGAGGTGTATTAAACCGTTCAACCCTACTTGAGTTAAGGAGACCACTGTAAAATACCCATATCTTGACCAAAATACACTGTTTCAAATTATTTGTGTGTGTGTGTGGACAATCACAACAAATAGGTAACAGGGCATTAATTACCTCAGTGATGAAACAGAAATGATTCACATCCATATTGTGTATGTTTTGAGTCCCCTTGTTCCCATATTTTCTGTATGTGGAACATTTGAGTGTTTACAAGTTAAATATCATCTATACCAATTGTGCAATGAATACTTATGTTTTCAAAATATTATTTAAATACGCATATGGGAGAAGAAAAAGGAACAACCAAAAAGGCAACAATATGCCTGTAACAGTATTAAAACAGTATATAATATTAAATCCCGGGATAAAGTATGCAAAATGGGCGATAATATTTTCTGACAATCAGTGTTTATGAAAGCATGCAGTTTTTGTATTTTCTGATCGCAGATCAGATAATACATAGCTAACATCCACAGTCTAACACAAAATTTCCTAACAGTCCTAACAACGCAAATTAGTTCTCACTCAAAACTGCTTAAAAACCAGCAATTTAAAAGAAAGAACAATTTTTTGTTACAAGTGTCCAACAAATTACTACACCTTCAAACTTTTAAAGTAGCGTTGGCTTATAGAGTTGTCAATAAATGCACACTCACAAATTACGCGGATGAATATGATTTTAATCAATGAAAATGCTATTTTTAGCGATGTCGATTACCGAATACTACACAAATAAATCTGACTGCCGAGTAGTTGAATATATAGTTTCTACATGTTGGACTGTTTGGGCGAGAAGATTTTTTCTAAATTATTTACTTCAATTTTAAACAACAGGTTTACCCTGAACAAAATACCTAGAAATTACCCTAACCAGAAATGCAATGGAAATTCTAAATTTAGAATGACTTGATTTTATTCAGCTTTTGATTTTAAAACTTCTCCGTGGTGCAGGGGTAACGCGCTCGGTTGGTGTGTGAGAGGTCCGGAGTTCAAATCCCAGTCGAGTCAACATTTTTTTAATTCTTTTTTTTAGTGTCTTTGTTAAGGAAATAGCCACGATATGCAAGGATAAAGTGTGGCTATCATAAAAAATGAACATAAATTATTTTTTGATGCAACTCTAGTTATGCAAAATTCCGTATGTATCAAACTCTGATGCCCTGCAAGATGACTTATAGTACATAAAAATAAACTTATACAGGAAAACACATACAGATATACAGTACGATTTAGACTGCAGGGATCAGAAAATACCACAGAGCTTGCAGCCCTTTGATTATAGAAAGGTCTTTTCCAGTCTGACTAAAGTTCTGATCTACTTATTTCTTACATGTAGATCTGATTGCCCCCTTATTTGTTTAATCTTCATTGTGATTTGGATTTCCCAGGAAAGCTATTTTTAGCAGTGAAATCAAACCGTCCTTTACATATAGGATTTATAAGACAAAGTATCAAATATCATTTTCTGTTAAAGTAAACATAAGTATTGTTGATTTTTGATAGAAAAAAAATTGTTGAAGTGATGTGAAATGAACTGGAAATTAAAGACTGAATTTATAATGGGCATGCAGTTTACCTGCTGGCTATCTGGACAACACCATGTTTGTTCTCGAAATTGTGAAAATGACCTACTCAGTAATGGTTTTCCAGCCATTGAAATTAGAAACCATATCGCTTTCAAAATTGTAAAAGCTTGCTGATGATTGGCTGTTTGAAAGGTTATCAGAAGGCGACAACCAAAATGGTGGTCGTCAGATCCTAATTAGTAGTGTTAATTAGAAGCTGATTTTAATCAGGACATCCTTAAGATTCATATTATTCCAGTTCAAATAGCATAATTTAAGTTTACAAGCCTGTACATAATTGTTTTCTTTCTTTGTATTTACAAAAGTATACTTTATAATACTAGATTGATAATCTAGAAATACAATTTAGAGTTATGTGCTTATGAATGTTGAATTTTTTAAATTTTTAAATTTGAAAACTTCCAAAACTTTCACTGAATTTATGTATCTTCAGCAACCTTTATTATATAGTAAAAAAATATTTTGTTTTTGAGGATTTATTTCTTAAAACAAGGATTTTGTTTTTACCAAAGCACATTCTTTTACATTTATGAAAATCAAGTAATACTATAATATTATGAAAATTAATCACTACTAAAATGTATCTTCTAAATTTTTAAAGATTTTCATTAAATATTGTGTTTTGTATTTAAATACACTTTTAAAATGTCAATTTCTAAGAAATTGTAATCTTTGATTGGCAAACTTTGTAAAATCAAAAAGTGTTTTCCTGGTGCATAATTGTCAATTTTATTATATGTTTCAATTGTGTCGATCATTTATTGAAAATATATACATAAATTACCGGTACAAAATTTATGTTAAAAGAATAAAATGTTTCCTTAGATAAAATATTTCAGTCATTTTAAAGTGGGGTTTAGTATATTAGAAGATAAGATTGAAACCTATTATAAAATGAACACCCAATGCAATATTTTGACACAGCCACAAGTGAAAATATAACACTGCTGGTGTTCACAAATTAATTAAATGAAATCTTATTTGACCTTACTTGCAAAATAAACAAATTTTACATTTATTTCATATGTTTTTAATGGTGTTAAGGCACTTTGATTTTTTTCTGTGTATCATCTTATATATTACTTTATCACATTATGTTTATATTCAAAAACTAATTCTGTAGTATTTCATTAATTTCGTTTGATTTGTGCAAATATTAAAGTGCTTCTCATCATATATCACATTATACTTATAACTTAAGTGTATTTCTCACAATATTTCCATTTATCGCATGCTTTTCAGTGGACAGTGAAATTATAAAATATCATTATCACAGTAGCCAGACTATATCTGAATGCGGATGAAAAGAATATAACTTAAAATACATAAAAATACCGAATACACACCATTATGAGTAAAATGTGCTTGAATACGAGAAACACATAAATATCTAGTTATCTACATAGTCATATCAATTCAAAAATGTATCATAATTTCGTAAAAGGTGACAGGATTATTTTTCAACAAGAACTATGTGACATCATGATTTTATGACATCATTAATGAGAGCGCATATTGTTATTTGGCAAAAGTCAGGAAAAAAAGATTAAAACCGATAAAAAAGGATGGAATGAATAGAAATTTTTTTTTAATCATGCAAGATCACAATATATTTGTTAGTTTATAGTCGCAAAACAATTTTTCTATAAATTGAATTAATGATACATGTATTATGATATATCTTTTAATTTGCAAAATGTCTAATGTGTTAAATAACTTTCAATAACATCATGTACGGTATTTTTTACCAGTACCTATTTAAATTAAAAATAATAAGAGACTTAAAGCTGCATGCCTGCAGATGAACCAAAATATTTCAATAAAGTACAAACCAAACAAAAGTATTCAGATTTTAAGAAAAGTATAAAGATTCAAGATAAAAGTTATAATTTCCATGTTATGTGTGAATTACATTGTATGACCGATTTTGCAGTCGTTTTTAACCTTAGTTCTATTGCATTACTAATGCAGTAAGGGCTATTTTAGCATATTTTGACCTCTTTTTGGTAATTAACACGGGTTGTAAGTACTGTTTACAATTTTCTTTTTTCACTTCACAATGTTTTACTTTATAATACATTTTCAAATTTTTCATGAAAATTAGCATAAATCTGGAGGCATGCAGCTTTAAAGGATAGTAAAATTCCTATAATGGAGGGTTAAAGCAGTCTTTTAATTGTGCATCAACAAGGATGCATTCACAGCCCAAGCATGCATGCAATGCTTTCTAGCACAATGTTAAGAATCTGCAGATTTCACTTTTAAGAATTTGTATAAACACAAAAGATATGACTAGAATGAAAATTATTACCCAATTTGTGTGTTTGTATGAGATAATAAATCAAGGTTGCCATCACTTGTACCTACTATATATTTAAGTAGGGTATAACAGGGCTTCCGTTAATGGAAGTTTGGAAGTCATTTACCCCCTGATTTTGCCTTGTGACTTCCGAAATTTAACCCTTTTCCTTCTTTACCTATATAATGTGACTTCCAATATCAGATATTTGCAGCCTCTGACTTCCAAATTTTGAAATTTAATGGAAGCCCTGGAATAAATTACTTATAATTATGCAAATATGTAACAATATCAAATTATAGTTATATATTATGGTCTTAGAACAGCCCGAAACCCTCAAATATCCCTTAAAAAATATTATTTAAGAAATTAATTTTACTTTCAAAAAGTAAACATATATTCTAACTTGATAGATAAAAGATATTCTTAACTTTCAAGTTATTGCAAAAGTAATCTATCTTAAGATAGAATAGTTTTGCACAAGATTTAGAAATCAAAGGGACATATTTTATAGTGTTAAAGTATTCTAACTCAAGATAGAATAGTTTTGCACAATAAATATTCTGGAAAAAGTAGCTTTTCTAGTGCAATACTAGGCTATGTTAGCATGTAGGCAATAAAATGCGTATTTTACACTTTTCTTGAAAAAATGAACATGTACACAACTTACTTCTATTTTTTGATAAGGTTGGTTGTGAATTTTTTTTCAAAAAATGAAATCAAAATAAAATAACATATTTTTTCCCTTTCCTGAAAATTTTTCAAAATACAAGTTAGAATAGTCTTGCGCCGAGCCCTCGATATACTGTTTACTTTTCAACTTTGATATTATATCCTGAAATTGCAATGGATTGCTTTAACCAGGAATTGAAATAAATGCTTTAACCAGGAATTAAAATGAAAAATTTGTTTTTCCAGATTTTCAGGATTTGAAAGCAATATTTTAAGTTGGAAAATATGGATATCATTTTTTGTCACCATCTAGAATGATGCAAGCCCTTTGTGCATTTGTTGGTTCTTTAAATTAATAGCAAACTGCAAAACATTTTGAATTCCACAAGACTCTCAAGCAATGAAATAAAATAATTATTTGTTGTACTGGTAATTATATTAGTTGCAGTATTTGATCAAATTATCAGCATGCCTTCTTGTGGATTGTTTTTTACAGTTTCTCAGTTGAAAGAAGAGCTAGAAAGAATAGAATCTAGATGTTCAAATGTTGAATGTCAGATGTTTGATGTGACACGGCATCCGGAGGAAGTTGATAAACTTGTACCAGAATATGATGTCGTAGTGAGTTTATTACCGTACACAATGCACCCAGAAGTTGCCAAGTCATGTATTAAACATCGTAAAAATATGGTCACTGCAAGTTATGTTACACCTGCCATGAAGGAGTTACACAAAGCGTAAGAATGCTGTATACTAATTTATTATTACTGAATCTGTTAGAAATACAGGGTGAATATAAAAGTCCTTACTCAGTTGATTTCTTTTTGTCCCCCAAAGTATTTTAAGAAGGAGCATGGGTTTTTATCGTATACAAGTATGATGTTTTTATATTTGATATTAACTCCAACGATCAGAAAGTTGATTAGGATAATGCTGTATTTCGGTTTTACTTGACACAGATTGCAATAAAATTCGAAATGATTATTTTTATGAAGACATAGAAATTAAAGAAAATGTTGAAACAAGTCATGCTGCTCATTTTGCTAAATAATGTTTTCAAAAGTAAACGAAATACAGCATTAACCTAATCAACTTTCTGATCGTTGGAGTTAATATCAAATATAAAAACATCATACTTGTATACGATAAAAACCCATGCTCCTTCTTAAAATACTTTGGGGGACAAAAAGAAATCAACTGAGTAAGGACTTTTATATTCACCCTGTATTTCTAACAGATTCAGTAATAATAAATTAGTATACAGCATTCTTACGCTTTGTGTAACTCCTTCATGGCAGGTGTAACATAACTTGCAGTGACCATATTTTTACGATGTTTAATACATGACTTGGCAACTTCTGGGTGCATTGTGTACGGTAATAAACTCACTACGACATCATATTCTTGGTACAAGTTTATCAACTTCCTCCGGATTCCGTGTCACATCAAACATCTGACATTCAACATTGGAACATCTAGATTCTATTCTTTCTAGCTCTTCTTTCAAACTGAGAAGAAACTGTAAAAAACAATCCACAAAAGGCATGCTGATAATTTGACTCAAAATACTGCAACTATATAATTACCAAGTAACAAACAAATAATTATTTTATTTCATTGCTTGAAGAGTCTTGTGGAATTCAAAATTGTTTTGCAGTTGCTATTAATTTTAAAACCAAACAATATCTTACAAAGGGCTTGCATCATTCTAGATGTGACCAAAAAATGCATATCCATATTTTCCAAAACTTAAAATATTGCTTTCAAATCCTGAAAATCTGGAAAAAACAAATTTTCATTTTAATTCCTTTAAAGCATTTATTTGCAATCCTGGTTAAAGGGCAATCCCCATGTTGCAAATTTTTTTTTCAGGATATAATATCAAAGTTGAAAAGTAAACAGTATATCGAGGCTCTCTGCGCAAGGACTATTCTAACTTGTATTTTGAAAAATTTTCAGGAAAGAAAAAATATGTTATTTTATTTTGATTTCATTTTTTGAAAAAAAATTCACAACCAACCATTATCAAAAAATAGAAGTAAGTTTTGTGTACATGTTCATTTTTTCAAGAAAAGTGTAAATACGCATTTATTGCCTACATGCTAACATAGCCTAGTATTGCACTAGAAAAGCTACTTTTTCCAGAATATTTATTGTGCAAAACTATTCTATCTTGAGTTAGAATACTTTAACACTATAAAATATGTCCCTTTGATTTCTAAATCTTTTGCAAAAACTATTCTATCTTAAGATAGATTACTTTTGCAATAACTTGAAAGTTAAGAATATCTTTTATCTATTCAAGTTAGAATATATGTTTACTTTTTGAAAGTAAAATTAATTTCTTAAATAATATTTTTTAAGGATATTTGTAGGGTTTCGGCTTTCTAAGACCATAATATATAACATAATTTCGATATTGTTACATATTTATATATTATATAGTATATTTATTCCAGGGCTTCCATTAAATTTCAAAATTTGGAAAGTACAGAGCATGCAAATATCTGATATTGGAAGTCACATTATATAGGTAAAGAAGCGAAAAGGGTTAAATTTCGAAGTCACAAGGCAAAATCAGGGGTAATGACTTCCAAACTTTCCATTAACGAAGCCCTGTTATACCCTACTTAAATATATAGTATGTACAAGTGATGGCAACCTTGATTTATTATCTCATACAAAACACTACAAATGGGTAATAATTTTCATTTCTAGTCATATCTTTGTGTTTATACAAATTCTTAAAAGTGAAATCTGCAATTCTTAACATTGTGCTAGAAAAGCATTGCATGCATGCTTGGCTTTGAAATGCATCCTTGTTTGATGCACAATTAAAAGACTGCTTTAACCCTCCATATAGGAATTTACTATCCTTTAAAGCTGCATGCCTCAGATTTATGCTAATTTTCATGAAAAAATTTGAAAATGTATTATAAAGTAAAACATGTGAAGTGAAAAAAGAAATGTAAACCAGTACTTACAACCCGTGTTAATTACCAAAAAGATGTCAAAATATGCTAACAATAGCCCTACTGCATTAGTAATGCAATAGAACTAAGAGTTAAAAACGACTGCAAAATCGTCATACAATGTAATTCACACATAACATGGAAATTATAACTTTTATCTTGAATCTTTATACTTTCTTAAAATCGAATATTTTTGTTTGGTACTTTATTGAAATATTTTGGTTCATCTGCAGGCATTGCAGCTTTAAGTCTCTTATTATTTTTAATTTTAAATATTCTACTGGTAAAAAAATACCGTACAAATGATGTTATTGAAAGTTATTTAACACATTAAGACATTTTTGCAAATTAAAAAGATATATCATAATACATGTATCATTAATTCAATTTATAGAAAAATTGTTTTGCGACTATAAACTAACAATATGATTGTGATCTTGCATGATTAAAAAAAAATTTCTATTCATTCCATCCTTTTTTATCGGTTTTAATCTTTTTTCCTGACTTTTTGGCCAAAAACAATTATGCGCTCTCGATTAATGATGTCATAAAATCATGATGGTTTCACATAGTCTTGTTGAAAAATAATCCTGTCACCTTTTACGAAATTATGATACATTTTGAATTGATATGACTATGTAGATAACTAGATATTTATGTGTTTCTCGTTATTCAAGCACATTTTACTCATAATGGTGTGTATTCGTATTTTTATGTATTTTAAGTTATATTTCTTTTCATCCGCCATTCAGATATAGTCTGGCTACTGTGATAATGATATTTTATTAATTCACTGTCCACTGAAAAAGCATGCGATAAATGGAAATATTGTGAGAAATTACAACTTAAGTTATAAGTATAATGTGATATAATGATGAGATAGTCTATCTATATCTATCAAAATTCCAAACAAAGTAATGGAAATACGACAGAATAGTTTTTGAATAAAACATAAATGTGATAAGAGTAATATATAAGATGTGATTACCAGAATAAAAAAATCAAAATGCCTTAACACCATTAAAAAACATATGGAAATAAATGTAAAATTGTTTATTTTGCAAGTAAGGTCAAAATAAGATTTCATTTAATTAATTTGTGACACAGCAAGTATATTTTCACTTGTGCTGTTCAAAAATATATGCATGGGGCTTCATTTTATAAATAGCGTTTCAATTCTTATCTTCTAATTACTATATATCTCTCACTTTAATACTGAAAATATTTTATCGTAAGGAAACATTTTATCTTACATAAAATTTGTACCGGTAATTTATGTATATATTTTCAATAAATGATCGACACAATTGAACATATAATAAATGACAATTATGCACAGGAAAACACTTTTGATTACCAAAGTTCCAATCAAAGATTACAATTTCTTAGAAATTGACATTTTAAAAGTGTATTTAATACAAAACACAATATTTAATGAAATCTTTAAAATTTAGAAGATACATTTTAGTTAGTGATTAATTTCATAATATTATGGTATTACTTGATTTTTTTTTTTTTTTTTTTGTTTTTGCATAAATGTAAAAGAATGTGCTTTGGTAAAAAACAAAATCCTTGTTTAAGAAATAAACGCTCAAAACAGAAAATTTTACATATAATAAAGGTTGCTGAAAGATACATAAATTCAGTGAAAGTTTGGAAGTTTTCAAATTAAAAATTAAAAAAATCAACTTCAAAGCACATAACTCTAAATTGATTTCTAATTATCAACTATATATAAAGTATGACTTTGTAAATACAAAGAAGAAAACAATTATTACAGGCTTGTTAAAACTTAAATTATGCTATTTGAACTGGAAATAATATGAATCTTAAGGATTGTCCTGCATTAAAATCAGCTCTTAATCTAAACACTATAATTAGAATCTGACGACCACCATTTGGTATGTCGCCTTCTGATAACCTTTCCCAAACACAAATCAGCAGCAAGGCTTTTACATTTTTGAAACGAATATTGTTTCTAATTTCAAGAGCTGGAAAAACCATTACTAAGATAGGTCATTTTCACAATTTCGAGAACAAACATGTGTGTCACAGAACAGCATAAACTGGCATCCCATTATAAATTCATCTTTAATTTCCAGTTCATTTCACATCACTTCAACAATTTTTTTCTATCAAATCAACATACTTATGTTTTACTTTAATCAAGAAAATGATATTGATACTGTCTTAAAAATCCTATATGTAAAGGACGGTTTTATTTCATGGGCCTTAAAATAGCTTTCCTGGAAATCCAAATCACAATAAGATTAAACAAAATAAGGGCAATCAGATCTACATTAAGAAATAAGTAGATCAGAACTTTAGTCAGACTGAAAAGACCTTCTATAATCAAAAGGCTGCAAGCTCATGGTATTTTCTTGCATCCCTGCAGTCTAAATCGTACGATATCTGTATGTGTTTTTCCTGTTATTAAGTTTATTTTATGTACTATAAGTCATCATTGCAGGGCATCGAGAAGTTGATACATACGAATTTTGCATAATAGGAGGAGTTGCATCAAAAAAAATTAATTTATGTCATTTTATGATAGCCACACTTTATCCTTTGCATATCGGCCTATTTCCCTTAACAAAGACACAAAAAAAAGAAATTAAAAAATGTGATCGACCTGATTGAACTCCGGGACCTCTCACACACAACGAGCGCGTTACCCTTGCACCACGAGAATTTAAAATCCAAAAGCCTGAATAAAATCAGTCATTTTCTAATTTAGAATTCCATTATTAGGTAATTTCTAGTAT